GTGAGTACTCACTGCTGAGAACACTTAAATCATTGGCCCATTGGCAAACTGAGTGAGTACTTACTGCTGAGAACACATAAAGCATTGGCCCATTGGTTAACTGAGTGAGTACTTACTGCTGAGAACACATAAAGCATTGGCCCATTGGTTAACTGATTGAGTACTCACAGCTGAGAACACTTAAATCATTGGCCCATTGGTTAACTGAGTGAGTACTTACTGCTGAGAACACATAAAGCATTGGCCCATTGGTTAACTGACTGAGTACTTACTGCTGACTACACATAAATCATTGGCCTATTGGTTAACTGAGTGAGTACTCTTATTGGTTAACTGAGTGAGTACTTACTGCTGACTACACATAAATCATTGGCCCATTGGTTAACTGAGTGAGTACTTACTGCTGAGAACACATAAAGCATTGGCCCATTTGTTAACTGAGTGAGTACTTACTGCTGAGATCACATAAATCATTGGCCCATTGGTTAACTGATGAGTACTTACAGCTGAGAACACATAATGCATTGGCCCATCAGTTAACTGACTGAGTACTCACTGCTGACTACACATAAATCATTGGCCTATTGGTTAACTGAGTGAGTACTTACTGCTGAGAACACATAAAGCATTGGCCCATTGGTTAACTGAGTGAGTACTCACGCCTGAGAACACTTAAATCATTGGCCCATTGGTTAACTGAGTGAGTACTTACTGCTGAGAACACATAAATCATTGGCCCATTGGTTAACTGAGTGAGTACTTACTGTTGACTACACATAAATCATTGGCCCATTGGTTAACTGAGTGAGAACTTACTGCTGACTACACATATATTGTTGGCCAATTGGTTAACTGAGTGAGTACTTACTGCTGAGTACACATAAATCATTGGCCTATTGGTTAACTGAGTGAGTACTTACTGCTGAGTACACATAAATCATTGGCCTATTGGTTAACTGAGTGAGTACTTACTGCTGAGAACACATAAAGCATTGGCCCATCGGTTAACTGAGTGAGTACTTACTGCTGAGTACACATAAATCATTGGCCTATTGGTTAACTGACTGAGTACTCTTATTGGTTAACTGAGTGAGTACTTACTGCTGACTACACATAAATCATTGGCCCATTGGTTAACTGAGTGACTACTTACTGCTGACTACACATAAATCATTGGCCTATTGGTTAACTGAGTGAGTACTCTTATTGGTTAACTGAGTGAGTACTTACTGCTGACTACACATAAATCATTGGCCCATTGGTTAACTGAGTGAGTACTTACTGCTGAGAACACATAAAGCATTGGCCCATTGGTTAACTGAGTGAGTACTTACTGCTGAGATCACATAAATCATTGGCCCATTGGTTAACTGAGTGAGTACTTACTGCTGAGAACACATAAATCATTGGCCCATCAGTTAACTGACTGAGTACTTACTGCTGACTACACATAAATCATTGGCCTATTGGTTAACTGAGTGAGTACTTACTGCTGAGAACACATAAAGCATTGGCCCATTGGTTAACTGAGTGAGTACTTACTGCTGAGAACACATAAATCATTGGCCCATTGGTTAACTGAGTGAGTACTTACTGCTGAGAACACATAAATCATTGGCCCATTGGTTAACTGAGTGAGTACTTACTGCTGACTACACATAAATCATTGGCCCATTGGTTAACTGAGTGAGAACTTACTGCTGACTACACATAATATTGGCCCATTGGTTAACTGAGTGAGTACTTACTGCTGAGTACACATAAATCATTGGCCTATTGGTTAACTGAGTGAGTACTTACTGCTGAGTACACATAAATCATTGGCCTATTGGTTAACTGAGTGAGTACTTACTGCTGAGAACACATAAAGCATTGGCCCATCGGTTAACTGAGTGAGTACTTACTGCTGAGTACACATAAATCATTGGCCTATTGGTTAACTGACTGAGTACTAAAGCATTGGCCCATTGGTTAACTGAGTGAGTACTTACTGCTGACTACACATAAATCATTGGCCCATTGGTTAACTGAGTGACTACTTACTGCTGAGTACACATAAATCATTGGCCCATTGGTTAACTGAGTGAGTACTTACTGCTGAGAACACATAAATCATTGGCCTATTGGTTAACTGAGTGAGTACTTACTGCTGACTACACATAAATCATTGGGCCATTGTTTAACTGAGTGAGTACTTACTGCTGAGAACACATAAAGCGTTGGCCCATTGGTTAACTGACTGAGTACTTACTGCTGAGTACACATAAATCATTGGCCTATGGTTAACTGAGTGAGTACTCTTATTGGTTAACTGACTGAGTACTTACTGCTGAGAACACATAAATCATTGGCCCATTGGCTAACTGAGTGAGTACTTACTGCTGAGAACACATAAAGCATTGGCCCATTGGTTAACTGAGTGAGTACTTACTGCTGACTACACATAAATCATTGGCCCATTGTTTAACTGAGTGAGTACTTACTGCTGAGTACACATATATCATTGGCCCATTGATTAACTGAGTGAGTACTTACTGCTGACTACACATAAATCATTGGCCCATTGGTTCACTGAGTGAGTACTTACTGCTGACTACACATAAATCGTTGGCCAATTGGTTCACTGAGTGAGTACTTACTGCTGAGTACACATAAATCATTGCCCTATTGGTTAACTGAGTGAGTACTTACTGCTGACTACACATAAATCATTGGCCTATTGGTTAACTGAGTGAGTACTTACTGCTGAGTACACATAAATCATTGGCCCATTGGTTAACTGAGTGAGTACTTACTGCTGACTACACATAAATCATTGGCCAATTGGTTAACTGAGTGAGTACCTACTACTGAGAACACATAAATCATTGGCCCATTGGTTAACTGAGTGAATACTTACTAATGAGAACACATAAAGCATTGGCCCATCAGTTAACTGAGTGAGTACTTACTGCTGAGTACACATAAATCATTGGCCTATTGGTTAACTGAGTGAGTGTTTGATTTGGTTAACTGACTGAGTACTTACTGCTGAGAACACATAAATCATTGGCCCATTGGTTAACTGAGTGAGTATTTACTGCTGACAACACATAAAGCATTGGCCTTTTGGTTAACTGAGTGAGTACTTACTGCTGAGAACACATAAATCATTGGCCCATTGGTTAACTGAGATAGTACTTACTGCTGAGGACACATAAAGCATTGGCCCATTGGTTGACTGAGTAAGTACTTACTGCTGAGAACACATAAATCATTGGCCCATCGGTTAACTGAGTGAGTACTTACTGCTGAGTACACATAAATCATCATCCATTTGTTAACTGAGTGAGTACTTACTGCTGAGAACACATAAATCATTGGCCCATTGGTTAACTGAGTGAGTACTTACTGCTGAGTACACATAAATCATTGGCCTATTGGTTAACTGAGTGAGTACTTACTGCTGAGTACACATAAATCAGCATCCATTGGTTAACTGAGTGAGTACTTACTGCTGACTACACATAAATCATTGGCCCATTGGCTAACTGAGTGAGTACTTACTGCTGAGAACACATAAATCATTGGCCCATTGGTTAACTGAGTGAGTACTTACTGCTGAGAACACATAAATCATTGGCCCATTGGTTAACTGAGTGAGTACTTACTGCTGACTACACATAAATCATTGGCCCATTGGTTAACTGAGTGAGTACTTACTGCTGACCACACATAAAGCATTGGCCCATCGGTTAACTGAGTGAGTACTCACTGCTGAGAACACTTAAATCATTGGCCCATTGGTAAACTGAGTGAGTACTTACTGCTGAGAACACATAAAGCATTGGCCCATTGGTTAACTGAGTGAGTACTTACTGCTGATAACACATAAAGCATTGGCCCATTGGTTAACTGAGTGAGTACTTACTGCTGAGAACACATAAATCATTGGCCCATTGGTTAACTGAGTGAGTACTTACTGCTGAGAACACATAAATCATTGCCCCATTGGTTAACTGAGTGAGTACTTACTGCTGAGTACACATAAATCATTGGCCTATTGGTTAACTGAGTGAGTACTTACTGCTGAGTACACATAAATCAGCATCCATTGGTTAACTGAGTGAGTACTTACTGCTGACTACACATAAATCATTGGCCCACTGGCTAACTGAGTGAGTACTTACTGCTGAGAACACATAAATCATTGGCCCATTGGTTAACTGAGTGAGTACTTACTGCTGAGAACACATAAATCATTGGCCCATTGGTTAACTGAGTGAGTACTTACTGCTGACTACACATAAATCATTGGCCTATTGGTTAACTGAGTGAGTACTTACTGCTGAGAACACATAAAGCATTGGCCCATCCGTTAACTGAGTGAGTACTTACTGCTGAGAACACATAAAGCATTGGCCCATTGGTTAACTGAGTGAATACTTACTGCTGAGTACACATAAAGCATTGGCCAATTGGTTAACTGAGTGAGTACTTACTGCTGAGTACACATAAATCATTGGCCCATTGGTTAACTGAGTGAGTACTTACTGCTGAGTACACATAAATCATTGGCCCATTGGTTAACTGAGTGAGTACTTACTGCTGAGAACACATAAAGCATTGGCCCATTGTTTAACTGAGTGAGTACTCACTGCTGAGAACACATAAAGCATTGGCCCATTGGTTAACTGAGTGAGTACTTACTGCTGAGAACACATAAATCATTGGCCCATTGGTTAACTGAGTGAGTACTTACTGCTGACTACACATAAATCATTGGCCCATTGGTTAACTGAGTGAGTACTTACTGCTGTCTACACATAAATCATTGGCCCATTGGTTCACTGAGTGAGTACTTACTGCTGACTACACATAAATCGTTGGGCAATTGGTTAACTGAGTGAGTACTTACTGCTGAGTACACATAAATCATTGCCCTATTGGTTAACTGAGTGAGTACTTACTGCTATGTACACATAAATCATCATCCATTGGTTAACTGAGTGAGTACTTACTGCTGAGTACACATACAACTTCATCTGACTGTCAGGGTCAATCAACTTGAGTTTGATGTTAGACATCATCTTCTCAAGAAGGGGACCTAGAAAGGAACATGTAAACAAACTATCAAGGAATGGAAACTGATGATACCTTCCAAGTAGGGTGTTATGTTTAGAAACTGAAGAATTTCTCACATGTATCTGGAACAATACCACACATGACATACTGACATTCATTGGGAAATGGCTTGGTAGTGTTCACCTAGGCTTGGTCACCCACTACTGTAAACAACTGTCCTTGAAACAAGCTACACACTAAACACTTGCCATCAGTTCTATAGACAGCTCATGCCACATGTGTCATATGTGTTCCAGCAGGACATTGACCAGAAGGTGTTTAACACCTGCCACAACAAATATTTCTGTGTGAGTTACCTAATGTTTAAAGTAACTGAATACATATTTTATGCATTAACATCTCATTTCATTTTCATGTGGTTGCAAGGCAAATGAAAGTCATATAAGGTCACTAGTTTCGTGCTACTGATAATCACACATATGGTGACGAACTAATGAAGAGATGGGGTGTAAGTTTTGGGATCCCGATGCAGCACACATATATTACCTGGTGGTTTAACTGAACTTAAGGGTTCAAACCGAATACACTTGGAAATTGGTCTTACCAGTGGGAAGTTAAAGTCAGCTTACACTTGTCCTGGGTATAGGCAACAATATGTTTCAACCCCTTACCAACCTACAATGTCACTCACCTGCACCCAACTTCTGTATTTCTGACGTTGGGTAAGCAAAGGCTGATGACAGATTGTAAACATTCATCAGAAGTAGAATTTCCGGGTTCATCCAAGAAGGCTGTTTGAGATCATGGCGCATCTGAATAAACAACACCATTAATGACATCAGCAACACCACTCACCAGTAACCATAACAACTACCAATAGTGAAACCACCTCATCTCAAGCATATTGTGGAAGAGCATTTGTTTCTAATCAAACACTCTACACTATGCACAAATACATGATCTTTATCATCATCAATCTTCTTTATCCAGAATACTGTAAGTCTACAGACACTACAACATGCAAATAAAGGTACATTTACAAAACACTAATGAAAAGTAACTTAAAATTTGTGTTTCCAAATTTACAGTGTGATAAAAATATCTCAATACATTCCTATGCACAGTTGACATAAGATGAATAAGTTTACGTTATTCCTCAAGCAAAGTACATCTAATGACCCAAAACACATTTTTAAGGTTTGTTTGAAAAAGCTGTTCCGCACCTGTCATAACTGTGCAGTAAAACACATAATAAACTTCCATGATAATACTGTGTAACTAAAGCCTCACACCACACTGTGTAGCTAAAGCCTCACACTACACTGTGTAACTAAAGAATCACACCACACTGTGTAACTACAACCTTACACCACACTGTGTAACTAAAGCCTTTCACTACACTGTGTAACTAAAGCCTTACACCACAGTGTGCAACTTAAGCCTTTCACTACACTGTGTAACTAAAGCCTTACACCACACTTTGTAACTAAAGCCCTTCACTACACTGTGTAACTTAAGCCTTTCACTACACTGTGTAACCACAGCCTTTCACTACACTGTGTAACTAAAGCCTTACACCACACTGTGTAACTACAGCCTTCACTACACTGTGTAACTAAAGCCTTACACCAGTGTGTAAGCTAAAGCCTTTCACTACACTGTGTAACTAAAGCCTTACACTACACTGTGTAACTAAAGCCTTACACCACAGTGTGTAACTACAGCCTTCACTACACTGTGTAACTAAAGCCTTACACCACAGTGTGTAACTAAAGCCTTTCACTACACTGTGTAACTAAAGCCTTACACCAGTGTGTAACTAAAGCCTTACACCAGTGTGTAAACTAAAGCCTTACACTACACTGTGTAACTAAAGCCTTACACCACACTGTGTAACTAAAGCCTTACACCACAGTGTGTAACTAAAGCCTTACACTACACTGTGTAACTAAAGCCTTACACCACAGTGTGTAACTAAGACTACATAATGTTACTGACACTACACAGTGTTACTGAGACTACATAATGTTACTGACACTACACAGTGTTACTGACACTACACAATGTTACTGACACTACACTGTGTTACTGACAATACACAATGTTACTGACACTACACAGTGTTACTGACACTACACAGTGTTACTGTCACTAGACAGTGTTACTGACATTACACAATGTTACTGACACTACACAGTGTTACTGACACTACACAGTGTTACTGACACTACAGTGTTACTGACACTACAATGTTACTGACACTACACAATGATACTGACACTACACAGTGTTACTGACACTACACAGAGTTACTGACACTACACAGTGTTACTGACACTACACAAAGATACTGACACTACACAGTGTTACTGACACTACACTGTGTTACTTACATTACACAGTGTTACTGACACTACACAATGATACTGACACTACAGTGTTACTGACACTACACAAAGATACTGACACTACACAATGCTACTGACACTACAGTGTTACTGACACTACACAATGTTACTGACACTACACAGTGTTACTGACACTACACAATGTTAATGACACTACACAGTGTTACTGATACTGCACACTACACAGTGTTACTGACACTACACAATGTTACTGACACTACACAGTGTTACTGACACTACACAGTGTTACTGACACTACAGTGTTACTAACACTACAATGTTACTGAGACTACACAATGTTACTGACACTACACAGTGTTACTGACACTACACAATGTTACTGACACTACAGTGTTACTGACACTACACAGTATTACTGACTCTACACAGTGTTACTGACACTACACAGTGTTACTGACGCTACACAGTGTTACTGACACTACACAGCGTCACTGACACTACAGTGTTACTGACAGCTGACACTAACCTCACAGTACAATGCATCAGCTATCCTCAGTATGTTGGTCTCGTCAACCTTCCACCCAGTGAACCTGCTCAGGTACTTGAACATTTTCTTGAAAAACAACAGAGTTCTAGCTAACATGTGGATCGGGCAATGTAAGATTTACAAGTTACATGTACATACGAAGCAAAACAGACACTAAACATTTACATACATAACTTCATGTGTCACGTATCTCCAAACACGTATATGGTCACTTTACATTATTAGACGTATTATTTTTACATTTACATCAATCACTTTACAGTATTCCATCTATTACTTTACATTATTCCATCTATTACTTTACATTATTCCATCTATCACTTTACATTATTCCATCAATCACTTTACATTATTCCATCTATTACTTTACATTATTCCATCTATCACTTTACATTATTCCATCTATCCCTTTACATTATTCCATCAATCACTTTACATTATTCCATCTATTACTTAACATCATTCCATCTATTACTTCACATTACTTTATATAATTCTCTCCATCACTCTACATTATTCCATCTTTACTTTACACTATTCCATCTGTAACTAACTTTATATTATTACTTCTATCACTTAACAATGAAATGGCATTACCCTGTTGTTATAGCTTGATATGAGAAGTTATTAAATGACTTTCCAAATTCAATGGCATCAATAACTTAATGATAAACTTCAGGTAAGGAGAAACTCCACTTTCAGTTGGAGTATTTACAGCACTTCACTGAAAAGTTAGAAGTAAAGATTGCAAATGGTTTCACTCAGTAAAATACTTTTAAGTACAACTTTGGCTAATTGCTAAAAACCTCCAGCACTACCCCAGGGAACATTTCACTGCTATGTTACCTTACAGTGGTTGAGAAAACCTCCCCATGCGGAGGATGTGCTCCTCCATTCTTGTTTTAGGCTCTCCTTAAGAGGGCAGGGAGCCATGGACAACAGCTGTGAAAATAGGAACCGGATCAAGTGTAAACCATATGGAGTGAATCAGTGAAAATATGTTTATGAACATGTAAAGCAACATATTTTTTATTCCAAACTTTGAAGGCAACAAAGAAGTTGATTTCATCAATACTTAATTACACACTTTGAATGAAAAAATGACAGGAAACAGCTTGTGCTGATCTCATCTTTGGCCGCTGTAGAAATATGCTTGCAAACTTTCAGCTTCCATTTTTCCATACTCAGCAGTTTAAGACTGAGGGTGATGACAACCCTAATGGAGAAGCTGACCTTGATAGCAACTCACTGGACCATCATCAGATAAATCAGCCCTGAAGACCATGATCAAGGTTGCTCATACAATTAACAGTTCAGTTATACCTTGTCCTGCTGTGTTAATCACTGTTCTCTTCAACATCTGAGACGGACAAACAATATTAATTGTGTTTCAGCTAGTACACCAAAACGGCATAAGTTTACCGCTTGACTAGCAAGTTTCATCAAGGAATTGCTGTAGAGCTCCAGAAACGACCACAACCCTCGTTTTTAGTAAGCATGAGAGTAAACATTACCTGATCCTGGCTTTGGTCTTGATAGTGGACTCTGACTGGCTGCAACACTGTCTTCATGTCACACTGGCTGACGTTGGTCAGCAGCATCCCTGCCATCACACACTCCGCAGTCATCCGCGCTCGCGTAATGGACGTGCTACGCACATACACCTGAAACCATTGGTCATGAAATATACTAGTGCCACAGCACTGAAACTCACCTGGACATGTAGTGTAGTGTAAAGTGTCAGAATGACAGATACTCCACTAAAGTTGCTGTGCACCATTGATTTTCTTCAAAATACTTACAACAAAAAATCGATTTGAACAAAATACAATGTTAACAAAAGTTACCACAATGTCAGACCAGATATTTGTACAGTCAGTTTTTGAAGACTTCAAGAGTATGGTAATAGCAAGGTGAGCTGCTTCACCTGAGAATCTGTCAGAGATCCAAAATTCAGCTGTTTATAGTTGTCCTTCAAGAAGCGTCCCAAATCAAAAGACTGCTCTGCTCCTACCTGAAAAGAGAAGGTGCATACAGTGTTTTACATGGTTATCACCAGGGTGCATACAGTGTTTTATGTGGTTATCACCAGGGTGCATACAGTGTTTTACATGGTTATCACCAGGGTGCATACAGTGTTTTATGTGGTTATCATCAGGGTGCATACAGTGTTTTACGTGGTTATCAGCAGGGTGCATACAGTGTTTTACAGGGTTATCACCAGGGTGCATACAGTGTTTTATGTGGTTATCACCAGGGTGGATACGGTGTTTTATGTGGTTATCACCAGGATGCATACAGTGTTTAAGGTGGTTATCATCAGGGTGCATACAGTGTTTTACGTGGTTATCACCAGGGTGCATACAGTGTTTTATGTGGTTATCATCAGGGTGCATACAGTGTTTTACGTGGTTATCATCAGGGTGCATACAGTGTTTTACGTGGTTATCATCAGGGTGCATACAGTGTTTTATGTGGTTATCACCCTCATGTTCGTTATGGGGTGTTATGATTGCGACATGAAAAGTAGGCAGGAAATGGGAAGTTTGAAAACTTGCTCCCTGTACACAGAACTGCCAATTTCACAATGACTACTGTATGTAGTATGAGTAACACAGAAACACAGTATTGCCTTGCATCTGTTGATGACATACATCCTGATTAACACATGTGTATAGTGACCCCCTAGCACTATCCTGATATCCTGATACTTACATCAGTCAGCATTCCCCACCCCATCAGCCAGGCGTCTTGCTGGTACTGGTCCGTTGGGTAGGTGCTCTGGGGGGCTCTATCACCATGGCGAAACAACTGTCAAGGAAAGCAGAAATCTGTATATGTAGACTTGTTGAAGGAGCATGATGTATGCAATCATTACCAGGTGTCCTGAGACAAAAGCCTAATTTAGATATCATGATGTACATATTACAGTGTAAACATGTTGTACATTAAACTGTTTTATATTTTGTAAGTCATGTTACTATCATCACATCATCTACTTCCATATTTACCTGCATCCACTGTCAGACAATATATTGATGCGAACTTTCATTGTGAAATACACAATGCCATTTTAGAAAGTGGTCAAGTGTAAATATAACATATGTTATAAACATTCATTGTTATGTCAAATAAATGTGCAAATAAATTGAAAGTGATACTAGGGAACATTAAAAAATGTATTACAAGAGAATATTTGAAACTTTTGGGTTAGAGTTCCTCCCGTTCCCCCATCCCAAATAATATTTGTAAATTAATATATACTAAAATTATTAACAAAAACTAACACAACAATTACCAGAAAACTCATAAAAATAACTAAAAACCCCAAACTAAGTACAATATATACACTTTGCTTTACCGTTGTTAATCTGCGGAAGAAAGAAATGGGGGAATGGAAGGAAATCTTTCCCAAACTTAATTTGTTTAATTGAGGGTAGCAGTAGTGATCGATGTAGATCATGATATGTTTGTATGAAGGCTAACTGGTTGGGATAGTCGACCGTGATAGTCAGGTGGAAAATTCTGTTTCCACTGTTTTGATTTTCTGAACCATTTTCTCGTAACAGAAAATGACTAAAACTCTATGCAGCAACTCATATGAGTCACTCAAAGTTTGCAGAATGGCCAAACTTAATTTCTGAATACATCACAAATAAATAGTAAACATGGGAATATGCTAAGTGGTACGAGACATCAAGGAATTTGTCTTTAGAGTGATCGGGACACCAATACCGAAATATCTTACATTAACCCATATGTGGTCCAGTTATTGTAGGCTAGGTGATACGGAAACCGGACAGTCCATACCAACTGAGATATCTGACACAAATGATGGCTACTGACCCCATACCCACCATTACAGGGTTTTTTTCTGTAAAATTTGTTCATTATGAACTTCATGGGACGTCTAGTATTCGGTGATTCTGTTTGAGGACAGATCATATGTGTAATAATGGCGATTTATCTATAATATTACTACTTACAAGCTGCACTAAAGACAGTGTTGTATTTGCTTCGTCGCTTTGTTCATCTCCACTGACGCTTAAAAAGCTGCATACCAACACAAGGGCTATCGTCCAGGCAGAGGACATATCCGACGAGCGAGACGCGAGAAGCTGTGAGCGAGAAGCAGAATTGTCACGATAAAAACACTTTTGAAACACTGATCATCGCCGCCTATTGGTGCAACTGGTTACTTTCAGATTCCGTAGCCAGTACACAACATAGCTCCCAACACCGTTTCTTTCCCTTGCCTCCTTTCAGGTTCCTTACTTCCGTGCCCACTCAAGGGACATAACTCCAAATTGGCGCACCTACATGCCTCTAATTTTCGTTCCACGAGAGAGACTTCACACCAGTTCAGGTTTACAATTGATACGCACAAAAAGTGTGGACACAGGTTTTTGACCATTGGACCACTGTATTCTGTGATATGTAGTATATTATATCTACCATTCTGTAACGTCACATACATCACATGTGGAGATAAGGGACCGTTCATAATTTGTGTAGTGTATATTCTCAACATAGACTCCACTTCACAATGTTCGGTCCGACTTAATTTGCGCCTGCTGTCAAAAGGCTAGCTAAACGTCACACATAGATTCCCAAGTGTGTCTAAATCCATAAGATAGTGCTAAATGTACCTACAAAGTAAACAATACCTTTCTGTAACGGCAAATGCATAACAATTAAGATAGTTGGCCCATTAAAACCCTTCTCATTCTACATTCCCAACATAGCCTCAATCAAAAGTGTTGATCAGTCTTAGTTGTCCAAAGCAACTGAACTGTGTATCCCCAAATGTTTTTATATCTGTAGTGTTGTGCATTCCAATATTGTTACGACACAATACACCACATGCAAATATAAGTGGTCCGTTGTTCACAGTGGCCTGCTTTCCTTCTGGACTTCCACAATAGTCTCAATCTGCGTTTGGCATATGTTCGGTCCGACTTGGTCATGGCTGTTAAAAGCCACAAATGTATCATTCCATATTTTCAGATCTATAGAACATTTTCATAATACAATTTATAGCGTTTTAAAACGTTGCATTTAAAACAGACACGTTACTCAAAGTGAGTCAGTGAGTGAGTTGGGTTTTACGCCGCTTTTAGCAATATTCCAGCAATATCACGGCGGGGGACGCCAGAAATGGGCTTCACACATTGTACAAATGTGGGGAATCGAACCCGGATCTTCAGCGTGACGAGCGAACGCTTTAACCACTAGGCTACCCCACCGCCCCCTGCTCAAAGTGAAGCCCTGTAATCATAATTGTTTGGTTTAACTTTCATAATCACTTTCTTGCTTTTGTCTAATCTGGCGTGTTCATGTGGACATACATACCATCTGATACAGTGAGTGAGTTAAGATTTAAAGTCACATCGGCAATATTTCAGCCACATCGTGACTAAAACTAGTTCTAAATTCATAATACATGCACATATATAAAATCATGTCAAGGAAGGACAGTAAAAGTTCTAGATTATAATAAAATGAGTTAAAACTAGCTAGCATATATCTTTAAAAGTAGAAAACTTTTTTGTGACAATACAAAATAGAAATGGTCTATTGATCGCCACCATCTGATACAGACATTATCAGAATACATGAGCGGTGTTACCAATTCTTGCATTAAGCTTGCACATGTTGTCAGTTCCACAAATTTCACTATAAGCTCCTTATCTTGCTGTGAAATACATAGCGTGAACAGTTATCATGGAGTAATACTTTATAAAAAAAATCATTATTATTTATGACAACAACAAGTGATACATTATTATTCAGATATTTAAAAAATATTAGTTACACCAAGGTCAGAAATAGCTTAGAGAAACACAACAGTCTAAGGTAATAAAACTCACCTCACAGACATACTATTCAGAAAGGTACAAGTTACACAACAGATATAGTTTAAAAGATGTTCCAGGTAAATCCAAGCCCGAGGCAACACGCACTCATCTCCTAGACACACCTTTCAGCGAGGCAACTGTTATGTCTCATTGCGTAATAAATTGCCTGGATATGTTTTGAAAAGTAAACATGTCGCCACCCTTATTAGAATGACATTAAACAATTACTTTAGGCTCATTGGGATTTAGCTCAGCGCGTCTGTTGGAATACCATAGATCATTGAAGCATCCAGTAAACGTGTCAAGAAGACTATCGGCAGTTTAATTAGGATTAGCAGTATAAAGCGCTCTCCTCTGTGTGTTCGATTATTGTAAGGTATTGTAATGCACCCCCAATTTTGTATCATCAACCAACCTTTATTGTTATATTATTTCAATTTTAACAAATAGTCAGAAGATGAAAATTCTTGGCAATAGTAGGGTTTGGACTCCTCTACACAGGTAGCCCTAGCCCAGAGGGTTGTACAGACTCTGTGGCCACCCCATGTTATTCTGTTCTTGTAAATACAATTGTAATTAGCCGCTTTGCTTTCTTATGCACATATATGGTATATGTGCAATCAATTAACCCCTTGAATACCAACACTTACGGTTTTGAAAAGTAATATAATTCCAAATTGAGAAAGACAATCACAGGAAACACACACCATGTTTTCAGCTGATGGTAAGGTGTTAGGTTGGGATCATCGATCTGTTTGGTTCTCTTCACACTTTTGATCTCCGGAAGCTCTTTTATACACTACCGCCTCCGTGGTGTGGTGGTTAGAGCGTCCGCCCGGGGAGTGGAAGGTCGCGGGTTCGATCCTCGGCCGTGTCATACCAAAAGACGTTAAAATATGGTACTTGTTTGTCCCTGCTCGGTATTAATGGGTACAACAAGGGCAGCTTGGCCCCGTTCCTCAAAGCCATCGCAGCGCTACGACAGTCATAAGTCTATGTTAAAAGTATGGGAGTTACGGTAATCTTAGCGCTACGATCGCTTTGCGGAACGGGGCCCTGGTCGGCTCGGAGTCATTATAATGTGTCTGAGTGGGGTATTCATGCTTAACTGCGGCATGGTATCTCAGTGAGCTAGCAATATAAAAACAGCTGAAGTCTGGGCTAGTACAAGTAGGTATACATACACACGCATACGAAATATTCTTAAGTGCGACGTTAACCCCATAAATTTTCACCTCACCACCTTTTATACACCCTCAACGCTAAGCTGTGATGTTATTAAACATGGAAACAAAAGATTATTGTTTGCACTACCTTTGCATTATCATCAGAAAGACTATGGAAATAATCAGACTAAGTTTCTATACCCCCCTCCCTCCCGGCCCCCCATTATATGTATCAAAATTAGTGTTTTATTGTTATAATTGCGCCATTATAACGCCGGTCTGTGTTTTTTTAGCTAAATGAAAGAATATCGTTATGCCGCGACTCACTGCTATAAATCGAAACATTGCCATTGGACGTCTGGAGGCTGGGGAGTCTCAATCTCCTCAATGTTCACCAGAGTAGCATCAGTTGTTTATGGGACTGATATCAACAAACCAATTCTACGCAAGATCGGCTACGAACATCCTCCGTAATCTCCAAGGTATACGTTACGATCACTCTCCACTATACATATATATATAGTATACCCTGGAGATCATCGAGGATGGGCCACGAACATCCTCCGTAATCTCCAAGGTATACGTTACGATCACTCTCCACTATACATATATATATAGTATACCCTGGAGATCATCGAGGATGGGCCACGAACATCTTAGGGCTCCTTTGCCTTTAGGCAGGAGACCTATTGTAATCGTTCGTGTTTTTATTATTATTATTATTATTATTATTTATTCTTCCGCCGTATTTTGTAACAGAGCTACAGAGAGCACCGCTGGACAGAATGCCTTGACAAAAATCACCCAGATGCCCACCGAGGTGTAGATATCGCGCTTTAAAATCTCTAGGCTGTAGGCCCAATAGCAAAGGGCAGATAATTCAAAATTAATTCAAAAATTTCAATTTCAAATTCAAATATCTCCAAAACTAATGCTCCAATGTGTGCCAAAGTTCTTGAGCAGATGCGCAATCAAAATGCCTACAATTTCGCCTGGACGGCTCAAGTCGCTAAAATGCACCGTTTGGACGCTATTTGGGATTGAAGTTTTTGTTGATGTTTTTCAGCAAAATCCTGACTGCATACCTCCCAAAATGTGCTGCACTAAAACTACAAGGGCTACGGCTTTCAAACGTTGCATACTTTGTGTCTATGCATGTTTCTACACAGTAGCATCGTCAAATGTGCCTATGTTTATATGATGGCCGCCATATTGGACGCTACTTTTGGGCAAAAGTTGTCTTCAAAAACTTTCACGGGCTACTTTGCTATTTTGTGCCAAACGAAACTTACCACATACAACACTTTAAACGCTTGTTCTGAAGTTGCCTTTGGTTGTTGAACATTTTCTGTTCTTGGTCCTATGTCAAAAGACCCTGCAAGCGCTACGGCTTTCAAACTTTGAAGAGCGCCATAAAATTTACTGATCAAAACATCTGTTCAACATTATCCATGTGGATAAAACGTATGGGAGCTAAAAGGGAAAAAACTGTTTGAGACGTGCCCCAAATGAAAGAAAAAAGAGTGCCAAACAAACTGACCCTCAACTCCAGGCAGAACACGCGAAACGTCACGCAAAAAGTCTTCCAACAACGTACCAGTCATCATAAATAATGCTTACATTCAAAACCCAAAGTTTGGGCAGATTTAACGAAATAGGGACTTCTTTATATCACCGACGGCCCAGGGATACATTGCCGAATGTGTCATAAGTTTCATCGACATTTACGGCACGGCAGATTACCCGTGCAAAACATGCGACAGTCTGAAGGAAGGCGCAAGGACGATATCTCCTATAAAGAGACTACCACTGCAAAGCGTGGTCCACGTGCAGATATGGGAGACGATGTAAATTTCAATTGACAATGACGAGAGCTAGCGCTACACAAAATTAAAATACACTGCAGTACAGGTGCTATTCCTTCATTGTAATTCAATCTTTTGTAAGGGTTATGTCTTTAGGCAGTATTTAAAGATTGTCAATGATTGAGCGTTCCGGGTCAGGGTAAAAGTTGTAGCTGTGGTCTAAGGGGGGAAACTCTGGTCTAGCTGAAGTAAGCGCTAGTAAAATCGTTCAACAACGACCAGGCGCCGACTTTGCAATGCCCGAAGAGTAATACGCTTTTGCTAACAATTCGGTGCTGTTTGCATGGATTTTAAAACTTCATAGGTGACCTGTATCGAGTTTAGGTGTATTTCCAGTATATATACCTGCTCTCGATTCACGAATTCAGTTGCAACAGATCGAGTGTAACAGTGTAATGGATACTGATGCAAAACTACTGAAGTACCTTAACTGCTGTGTAATCACAAGTTCACTTGCGTGAGCGTGAGTGTGAGTGAGTTTAGTTTTACGCCACACTCAGCAATATTCAAGCTGTATGTCCGCGGTCTGTAAATAATCGAGTCATCACGACTTGTCAGCTACATGTGACGTACATTTAGATTCACATAATGTCAGTCACAGTGAACCTTTCAAATTATATAGTTGAGGCCACAAAATTTTTTTTTGTTTCTCTGACTGTTTGAACAAAGGGTTCTTCTGTTTTGATATTCATGATACCTAAGTGATATTATTTAATGTACGAAAATAGGTTTTGTGATGAGTTTATCGAAACTTAATGACCTCCCAGTACTTCCAGTCGAAGAGCATTCGACTAGCAGTGATATGATTCATATTAACTAATACCATTACTACATTCATGATATGATTGCATATTAACTAATACCATTACTACATTCATGAGATATGTGAGAGATGCAAAAGGCTCCAAAGAAGTAAAGCCAAGACGTCAGCCCCGATACTCTCGCTATCGCTGCTCGCAGCTATATTTAAAGAAAGTAAGGACATTGCTGACGATTTCTCGTCACTGAGATGTCAAACGGCCACCTTGTCTCGGCTGTTCGGACATGTTGACAATCAACTGACAAAGGTGCACCCCTTCACAATAATAGACCCAACCAGTTGTGACACGGTCGCGCAATGCATTAGTATTCACTTGATAAGGTCAAGCTGAACAAGCTGTAATGTTAATGTATAGCACTTACGACTATCTTAGCGATAAGAGAGCTTGGAAAATCTAGGCCCTGGACTGCGACTATATCCACGTAGTCATTTCCAGCGCTACGACAGTCGTAAGTCTATGTTAAAGTATGGGAGTTATGATCCCCTCAGCGCTACGATCGCTTTGAGGAACGGGGCTCAAATCTGGAATCTACAAAACTGGTGACGTGTATTGGTTCGGTGACGAATCACGCTTTCTGCTTCAGTGCCGTGATGGAAGAGTACGTGTCTATCGACTTTGAAATGAACGTTTTGCCCAGAATTGTGTCGGCCAGGTGGCACACGCTGTCCCAGCTCTTAACACTTCATCCCTGTTTCGCTGGGCATTCAGATTTCCTTAGATGATAACCAATCTTGTTCTCTGGCCACAATTGTCGCCCCATACCATGACGCCTACTCCCTCGTACGGATGAACTTCTTGAACGCAGTCTGGGACCAGTCGCTCTCCTCTACGTCGGAAAACTCGAACTCTGCCATCGCTTCTGAACCGACTGAACCTATTTTCATCTGTAAAGAGCAGTTACGTCGCTGTCACCGACGTACAGTTCGTGCCCATTGCAGTCTGCGTTGACGGTGTAGACGGGTCAATGCCATTCCACGGAAGGGGCGGTAGGCTCGTATACCAGCCATACCAAGTCGTCCAAGGACTGTTCGTCTGCTGATGGAGTGTCCAGATGCTGTCGCCGCTGTTGACGTCGCCGTCACGAATCTCTTCCAGAGGTGGATCTTCCCCCAGATGTAGCGGTCTTTGGCCGGTGTCGTGACTCTTGGCCTTCCCGATCGTGGGCAGTCTTGGGTCTGGCCTGTTTGCTGGTAGCAGTTTATCAGTTTGCTGATTGTGGCCGGGCTGCAGTTGAAGGTTCCTGCCAGCCGACGTTGTGAACTCCCACATTGGCCATAGCGATCGCCCTGTCTCGTTGTGCGCGTGCGTAAGTCTTGGCATATCCGTGATGATTTTTTGGTTACTGTATGCATGCTTGCTCTGTCCAACATCGGTATTTATGACACAATCATGCACGTATATTTGGATCAAAGTCCTACAATAAGTTATTCACGTTGTTATCGGGACCATGTTGCGTTTTGGCGAATGTTTTTTGCTGGGGTTCAAACCTTATTTTTTTCCACAAAATAAATTTAAAAGGGATAACTTCTTTTGCCGGTAGTTTACTTGCATGGAAACAGGTATGACGATTATAGTTTAAGTACTTGCCTGTTTGTTCACAAATCAACTGTTCACTCACACCGGCTTGAAACAGGCGTGTCGCGGATGTGGCTCTTAAAGAATGGTTCGCCTTTCGCCCCTAACTACCAGCTGTCTGGCAGAGATGTTTACTCTCCCTTTGGCCGGTGTTTTGACTAACTGACACTTGTGAAAACCTCAGTTCTCAACTGTGTGAAGTAGAAAGCATCCACTTCCTGTCCAACACTTCCAGAAATACTCTCCGATTTAATTACATTAGAAATTAGTCGTATGCTTTCCTACTTGATGTATCCTTTCATAATGTATTACCAAGTTTCTACAAGTATAACAGGAGACCAAGACACCACGAATCGACTGAATCTATGCTCCACTGAGGGTCTTCCCTAATGAACTCATTAGGAAAGTATAAATTCTACAAATTATAATGATTCTTTCGATCAAGCAAAATTTCAAGGTTTCGTTTTAGTTTCACAATCTGCCATTGCGCAGCAGGTTCATTGAAAACATGTGGCGCGTCTGTACGCACCGGTTATGTTCAGAAGCCAGACATGTCGTCCAACAGACTAAAGCTTAGTCTCTGAATATGTATAATTTTCATAGTTACAAATAAACCCATTTAAATTGATAAAGAGACCCAGTGAGTTAGTCGATTCAGGGACTGTGAGTGAGTGAGTTTAGTTTTACGCCGCACTCAGCAATATTCCAGCTATATGGCGGTGGTCTATAAATAATCGAGTCTGGACCAGACAATCCATTGATCAACAGCATGAGCATCGATCTGCGCAATTGGGAACCGATGACATGTGTCAACCAAGTCAGCGAGCCTGACCACCCGATCCCGTTAGTCGTCTCTTACGACAAGAATAGTCGCCTTTTGTGGCAAGCATGGGTTGCTGAAGACCTATTCTACCCCGGATCTTCATGTGTCTCAGGGACTGTGAGACAGACTAGTCCTCCAAAGGAGGTTGATCAGTATAACCCGTTGGTCCACAATCCACAACCAAGACCTAGAGTTTTACTCCACAACACATATATTGATAAATGTCATTTTTTGGGGAGTACATAGTACCTAAACTCTTCAATACAATTCGAAAACTTTCAGAATGTTTCCCTATATTGTGAGTAAAATAACACTGGAAAAGCTTCACGTTTTGAGGTTTTACCACTAGGTTTATTAGCACATACATCAGTGGGGAGACTTGTAATGAGGCCACGTTTGAATAAGGTCATAAAACTTCTGACCAGGACAGGCTGTTTGTCTGACGTCACGGTGGCCGTAGATGACGTAGTCCGTGCGGATTTTGCCATTGTCTACGCCACACTTGATCAGCTGCTTCACAGCGTTGAGCGCATCCATGTTAGGAACGTGATCAGTGAAATCCCCAATCACACAGAACCCTGAAAAACAGCTGCTGATGATGATAATGATGGGCAAAATAGCATAATAACGTTACATATAATAAGATAGACTGCTATCGTCCACTGTATCTTGTTAACGTAAGCGAGACGTCGAGTTTACTAAACGTTGTGTAAGGTATACGCTCTGTAAGTATTACATTCTGTATTTCTTTTCCGCTCCAGAAATTCAAAGCAATGTAACACTGCACACGATCCGCAAATTGTGGTTTCATGCGACATCGTGTGAAATGCATTAACTACCGGGCAGAGGAAAGTATACTCATGGAAACTGGATTTGTCCAGAACGTAACCACAGGTCAGACAGTCTCCGAAAAACTGCAAACTTCAGGTCACAACACAACTATGACACGTGTACAATCTACATGACCATTATTGGAAAAGTTCAGATTCAAAGGCAAGTTATGCTTAATGGAGAAAAACCTTTCTTGTTCCACCGTAATTCTAAAAATAAAACACATACCCTTTTTAATATCGTATTCCGTACATCATGGGCCTCAAAGGGCCAATGGAGAAGGCCTTACCAAATCCGTTGAAATTCTAAGTCAAGCTATGTTTAATGGAGAAGGCCATACCAAATCCGTTGAAATTCTAAGTCAAGCTATGTTTAATGGAGAAGGCCTTACAAAATCCGTTGTAATTCTAAGACAAGCTATGTTTAATTCAGAAGGCCTTACCAAGCCCGTCGTAGTTATGGTTGAGGGTGTGGGTTCCAACCTTGTCCCAGCCTCGAGATTCATACACGTTTCCGTCTTCCCCGATGACGAAGGTGTAACCAATATCGTCCCAGCCTGTTTAGACAGATATTGTCGTTGTTCATAGTTGAAGTCTTAGATTATGTTTTCAAATGTTTTTTCGTATATTATTCACTTAATACCCCACCATTCCACACTGAGACACACCTGCCTACCTCCGGTTGTAAGCGGAATATTGCCAGGGTCGGGACATGTCGATGTCTGTATTCATACCCATCCAACATATTACCGTTTCCGTTTCCGGTCTCACTGGGAACGGTATTTCAGCAAGAGAGTGTGTTTCAACGACTGAGTGAATGACTGAGTTGAGTTTTACGCTGCTTATCACAGCAGGCGGATTAATGTGAGAGGCCATCCTGACATGATGGAGGGCATTAGAGGCCCCAGACAACGACCACCACTTCGGTGATACCCACAAACACGTATGATGCGGGCTAGTGACAGATCATAATCAGGTAGAATATCGGATTTCGATCCACGAACATAGGATATAGGCACGCCTTAGTGAGGCCTTAGTGGTTTGACTGGATCACTGTACCTTGTAAACTATCAAACACAATATACCAGGAGACGTGACCTCACCGTGTCCATCCATGTGATAGTTTTGATAAGACCTCATAATGGACTTGCAGGTCGTCTCATCGTGGCAACTGGCAGAGGCCCCGTGATGAATATACACGTTCTGGGGCGTGGCTGGTAGATTGCTAATATGCACCTTTGGTGCTCTAGCGCCCCACGCAGCACGTGATACGATGTGGGGACATCCGGGTAGTTGCTGGGTGGAGGTCGAAGTGGTCCCTTGGTTTCCTCAATAAGGAGAGATATTGTTAATGACACTTTACGCAAAACGGTTCCAAATATATTGAATTCACACAGATAACAAACCTCGTTATACATGCTGGGAGTAACTGTAGCCGTGAGAGCTATCAGACAACAATGATCAACTCGAAGTAATGACCGACATTATCATCGCAGGTGATACCTGGACTATAATTGGTGACCACTGGAATTATTGGAGGTAGAACTAATGATGAATCTCTGTGTTTATCGTCCATGTGTATACATGTGTAATACAAACCCTCCATTCAAGACGTCAGTTCTATTAACAGTATGTATCAATTGTCGGTAATAACAAGACTGCAACATGAGGAGCGCCTGTACCTGCACATGTTCCTATTGTCAGCCAGCTGTCCGCCACCCATCCATCCTGGAAAATAAAAAAAATAACTTGGAATTGTCAAATATTGTGAGGAAGATAAGATAAGATAAGATAAGATAAGATAAGATAAGATAAGATAAGATAAGATAAGATAAGATAAGATAAGATAAGATAAGATAAGATAAGATAAGATAAGATAAGATAAGATAAGACAAGACAAGACTTTATTATCCCGAAGGAGATTTGCTTTACACGGTTAACGTTGAAAACACATACAATACAACAATAGATACATATACATAAGACAACAAAAACACCCATACATATGTCATATATTACATGTACTAAAATAGCTGGCAACAACGCCCAATATATGAGGTAAAGATAAATGATGAATAAATTATAATATATTTAAGATTTACAGCTGTAGTGGCAACATTAAAATTTGGCTGAGGAACATTAGCACTAAAAACATATCAATATAACAGTTTGAAACAATTGATAGAGTATTATGAAATGATAAACAAACATTATAATAATTCATTTGAAAACACTGATGCTTGCTGGAATGAAAGAATTTCGAGCCCTGTTTGTTCTGAATATCGGCGTGCGCACTCGTCGGCCAGAAGGAAGAAGTTGAAATTCAGGAAATAGGACACGAGTGCTGTCATTTAAAATTGTACGTGCTTTTTTCAAGTTGCTGCTTGTTAGTAGTACCGATATTTTGCATTTTAAGTGCAGAACTTGTACTTGCGGTGTTAACAATTTTGGATACTTATATTCCTCAACTCTGTCTATAGTTTCGTTATCAATGACAATTGGCAACGGCTCACTTTTACTTTTCCAGAAATCAATTACCATCTCTTTTGTTTTCTTAACATGTACATGTAATTTGAGGAAGTTGATTTTACACCAATCAAGAAATTTTGTGATTTCAGAGCAATAGTCATTCCCCGAGTGCCTTGTAAATCCAGCGAGTCCGGCGTCATCGGCAAACTTTACAGTTAAACATTGTGAAAACCTACTGATACAGTCATTTTTATATAAAATAAATAAAAGCGGGGAAAGAACACAACCTTGCGGGGCACCAGTGGATACGAATGTTGTTGCTGATTGGGTGCTATTAACAGTTACAAACTGGGGTCTATAAAAATTACAAGAAAAGATTCTATCCATTTTATAACTCATGGGTTGACTGACATATCACAGAGCTTTTGCATTGAAATTAATGTTAGGCTGGGTGATATTAAAAGCTGAAGAAAAGTCAGCAAACAGAATTCGACATAGGAATGGGAAAGTTCTAAATGTTTGTAAATATTGTTTAATAAAGTGATGGTAGCGTCCTCGACACCTCGCCCAGCCCTGTAGGCAAACTGAAGAGGGTTGAGAAAGTGCTCTGTTTCTTTCAGGACAAACGCTTTACAATTCTTTTCAAACACTTCATAGGTATAGACGTCAAAACAACTTGGCGGAAGTCATTATCAATGGTGGGTGTGGGGATTTTAGGTACTGGGATAATATTTGAAGTTTTCCAAATGCTTGGGATAGAATGACTGTTGATAGAAATTTGAAAAATTGTTTCAAAAATGTGGGATAATTGTTCACGACATTTTTTAAAAACTTTACCACAAAGATTATCCGGACCAGTTGCTTTGTGAACATTTATTTTAGAAAATGAATTGAGGACGTCAAAGCGAGACACTGATTCATGTCGAGATTCTTACGATTTGTTGCCAAAGTTCTATAACCTGTTGTAAAACTTACAACTCCTTGTGTCACGTTGACACTAAATAGATGCCAATCAAATTATGAATCATAGCAAATATATAAACAAGCATGATGACCAAAACACCAACCTTCCCGTTGTAGTCAATATTGGCCCAGTCTAATCCACCTGCATGCGCTGTTGTGCCTTTGTAGGTATGGCATGCGTTCGGGGTCAAGGTCCCGATGACACCATGACTTGCCCCGGCTCCACTTCGCACATGCACAGTTCCGGTGGCGCATGCGCACTGACTTGAAACATGTTGAACTGAAAAGAACAGTGCTGGACACTATGAACATGTACATGCAAACACAAGCAACTGACGGTTTAACTGTGTTGCGCATAGACATTTGGTATCTACAATAATTGATTAAATGTACATCATCTTTTACCGGGCCAACGTTGAACCACGATAGACGGGAAGGAGCAGTAATGGTAGCCAAGTGGGAAAGTCTGCACAGGATTAATTCATCACACGAGTACAGTGTGTGGAGTATTGGTGACATCAGCCGTCCTGCTGCTAACACTTGCAGTGCCATACACGGACATATGACTGAGTAAACGATGAACGTACTTGTGCAATCTTGAAATTTGAGCCAGCTCGCAGCTACAAAACCATCCTGAAATACAAGTTACTTGATATTGTCACGAACATCAGGTATTTCTAATAAATTTATATTGGATCAGGTACGATGTCCTTTAACCAGAGGCCATTTAGACTTGTAGAGTTTTGCTTTGTGTGATATAAAGTCATGTACAATGTTATACACTTGCTGAAGCTACAGGCTCTCGTTCTCAACATGGCGACATTGGTATCACAACGATTACCTGAACGTTTGAAGTCGAGTGTAGAGAGTGAGGACTTTATGGAGTGCCAGTAGGAAGACAAGCCTGTGACTCAGGTTGTCTCCCACTTTGTTGTCTGATAGAACGAATCACAGAGCCAGATGTTTAAGCTACCTGGGGAACATTCGGGATCACCTAAAGACCCCCATCCGCTAAAATAGGAAAAAAAACCCACCCAGACCAATGATACAGACAACTCAGTCCACCAACTCGTAATCCTACAAACCGTCAGTTAACTTTATAAACGACGTGCTGACAAGCTGAGCAATACGTTGATTCAAGCAAACGTTAGCCTAAGACAATAAACGCACTCGCGTCCGACGAAGTTGAAGCTCTCAGGAATGAGTGAGTGCGTGAGTGAGTTTAGTTTTACGCCGCACTCAGCAATATTCCAGCTATATGGCGACGGTCTGTAAGTATTAGAGTCTGGACCAGACAATCCAGTGTGAACAGCATGAGCATCGATCTACGCAATTGGGATACGATGACATGTGTCAACAACAACTAACCAGTTGGAGCTCAAGACTGATGAACTGGAACAATATAGCCGTCGAAATTCAGTCAGGATCACAGGAATCAAGGAACAACAGGGAGAAGAGAAAGAAGGTGTTGAAGAAATCGTCATTGATGTTCTGAAGGATGTGCACCCGGACATATCAGCTACAGATATCGATAGGTGTCATCGAGTGGGTTCACCGTCTTCAGGCAGAAACAGGGCGATTATTGTTAAGTTTATCAGTTACTGGGATCGTAACAAAGTGATTACTAACAGGAGAAAGTTACAACACAAGAGGACATCAGTTTTCATTAACGGGGATCTAACTCAACACCGTAACCGATTGTTCAAGATGGCGAGAGATCTGAGACGTCAAGGACGAATCTACTCGACCTGGACTCGTGATGGACGTGTGTATATATGTGAACAATGTGAAGGCAGAATCCGAGTTGTTCATACCGAGTCGGATCTGGCCAAATACAGTCGCTAAAATGTGTTGTGACTTGAGATATAATATGTGTCCTTATTAATCGTTTGGATTTATTTACACGACTCAGTGAGTATATATGCCTGATATTGTTATACGTATCTTATTACATACACTACGCTTTCATAGTATACAAAATACCTGCTAATTCATGTTTTTGGTTGTATCTAATCACTGTACATGTATATACCCTCACCATTCTCCAAACCTTGTACATAAATGTTCTATCAAACTGTTGTACTGTAAACTTGTCCATGTTCAACAGTATACCAAAGCACAAGTTTAGAACACACATAGTATCCAAATTGTTCGATAAACGAAATTATAAAACTATTTTGAGTAACATCAGCCAAACCCTATCACGTATCCGCATTGTCTTGCTTTTCCTCTGTAAACTCAATCAGCCATATGGGTAATGACATAACACAGTACCGTGCGGTGATCGGGGTATACCAAGGTGTGCGTTGTTACTACAAACAGAAACACTTTCAAATCAGACCTGACCTAGTTTTTACGATTTGTCACAACTTGACATATATATTTTCACAAGAAATTCACCTAGCTTTCGAATTGTTACTTATTGAATGGAAAACATGTTATGTCATTTTTGTTCTGTGCTTACTTCAATCAAGTTTCAACAATGTAAACGCTGCGTTGATTATCCTATTGTTATTCCAGCTTGCCGGAGATATAGAGTCAAATCCCGGGCCTCCCAAAGTAAGCCCAGATCAATCACTCTCTATATGTCACTTAAATGTAAGAAGTTTTCGTCACAAGCAAAGGTATTTGTCTGAAATGTTGTCAGATTATGATGTTGTATGTTTGACTGAAACTCACCTTGATGAATCTATTTCTGATGAAAATCTAAAATGGAATGAGTTTCATGACCCCATTAGGAAAGATAGAAATGCTTTTTTGTGGTGGTGCTATGATTTTTGTTAGAAACAATGTTAATTTTAAAAGACTTGTTGAACTAGAAAATATAAACGACGAATCCGTCTGGATTGAAGTATTTCTTCCTAAAAAGCCATTAATTATCTGCGCAATCTACAGACCAGAATATAATAAAGAACAGTTTTGGAACCGCTTTAGACATATCTAGTACAGTTATTGTTACTGGTGACATAAATGTAAATATGTTGTCTTCCAATACACATGCTGTCCATAACATTCTGAATAGAAAAAATATGCGAAACATTATTAGTGAACCGACTAGAGTTACAGAACATGTCAGTACTTTATTAGATCCAGTTATTGTCAGCGATGACGTTGAAGTCATAGACTGTGGAGTGATAGCTTACGGTAAAAACATCAGTGATCATAAAGGTACCTACGTTAATATCAATGCTCATATATCTACACAAGTGGCTTATACTAGAGACGTATGGTGTTATAAGAAAGGTGATTTTGAAAAAATTAAATCAACTGATAGATTCACAAGACTGGTTTTCCATGTTTAATAATTGTAATGATATCAATGAAGCTTGTCAGTTATTTTATGAACATTTTAGTTTTATCACAAAGCAGTGCATCCCAACACGGAAAGATGTTGACTTTACAAAATATAGAAAGCAACGTAACAAAGTAAATAACATGAAAGCGTATGCTAAAGACAATTTTTACTCAAACTTGAATGAACTATTATTTGAAGTGTATGCAGACAACAAATCTTCTTATTGGAAAGCTTTACGTTACATTGTAAAATCTTCCGGTTCCAGCTCAACTATTCCAGGTTTAAAAGAGAACAGTAACGATGAGCGCCCATCTATTTTCTCTGATTTGGGTAAAGCTGACAAGCTAAATGAATTTTTTCAATCAATTTCAAACCTTAATGATGAATACATACAACTTCCTAAGTTTTGTCAAAGAACTGATGCATCAATTGATATGATAACTATAACAGTGAGAGAAAATTCTGATATCATTAATTCAATTCCTTCCAAGAAAGCAACCGGACCAGATAAAATTAGTCATCAATTGTTGAAGAAAACTGTTAACTCTATAAGCAGTGTTCTTTGTTTATTATTTAATCTTTCTCTTCGATCGAGTACTTTCCCAAATGTTTGGAAAAAGGCCCATGTTATGCCGCTATTTAAGAAAGGTGACAATTCAACTGTATCTAATTATAGACTCATATCACTAATCAGTTGTGTCGGTAAAATATTTAAAAGGGTTGTTTTTAAACATCTTAATAACTACTTTCTTGATAACAAATTGTTGTACAAATATCAGGCTGGTTTTCAGCGAGGCCACTCTACTGTACATCAACTTATAGAAATCTACCACAATGTATGTACATCGCTTGATAACAAAGAAAACTATTGTATGGTATTTTGTGATCTTTCTAAAGCTTTTGATCTTGGCTGGCATAGAGGGCTTTTATTGAAATTGGATATGTATGGTGTTAAAGGTAACTTACTAACTTGGCTTGCTAGTTACATAAGCAAACGTACTCAATCAGTTTTTGTGAATGGCACATTATCTCATTCGAGAACACTACAAGCCGGAGTCCCACAGGGTTCAGTTTTGGGTCCCTTTCTTTTCATTGTGTATGTGAACGAAATAGCCTATGTATTAAAGTGCTCAACAAGATTGTTTGCTGATGACACATCACTCGGTGCACCTTCCAATAACATGCAATCATTACAAGTAACTATGAATGAAAATTTAAGCTCGTTAAGTGATTGGGCTAAGAACTCGTTACTCAAATACAACCCAGACAAGACAGAGGCTGTATTGTTCTCTACCAGAGATAGTGACAAATAGACAATTTATATCTGTACCTTTTTCATAAACATCTTGGTGTAACATTATCTTGAAATGGAGGCTGGTCCCATCACAAGAAAACCTCCAAAATGATAAATTCAATGAGAAATTTAAGTTTTTGTTAAAAAGAACAACGCTAATTAAGATCTACACTGTTTTCATTCGTCCTCATTTTGAATATGCGTGTGAATTATAGGATGGGTGTACAGCTGATCAAACTACATGTAACTCCTTAGAACAGTTACAGTTGGAAGTAGCTCGTATATTGACAGGACTTCCAAAATATACTTCTCATGATCATTTGTTTTTGAAACTGGTTGGGAAACCCTTAGTGAACGTAGAAGAAAAAGAAAACTTTGCTTATTTTATAAGATTCTTCACAATATTGCACCATCATACCTTCAGGAATTACTACCTACATATGTTGGCCAAAAATCATCTTATAACCTTCGCAACTCTTTAAACTTCTCCCTTCCATTTACGAGATTGAAACTTTCCTTATCATCTTTTTTTCCATCTACTATACGAATGTGGAACAAAGTTCCCATAGAAATAAGAAATATAGATTCTTTAGCATGGTTTAAATTGAAAATTCAAAATAAAATAAATGCAGCCCCACCTTTCTTTTGGTCTGGTACAAGGAAACTGAACATTATTCACACAAAACTAAGGTACAAAACAAGTCCGCTTAATTACGATTTATTCAGAATTAATTTTAGATCAGATGCTTCTTGTACTTGTGGTGTTCATGTGAAAATTCATGGCATTATCTGTTAGAATGTTCTTTGTACACAACGCAGCGTAAAGATTTGTTTGCAAATAAATACTCGTTAAACATCGCATACCCATTAATCTAGATGTATTGTTATTTGGTCATGTTACACTATCACTATATGAAAATGAATTATTATTTGAACATGTACATAGATATATTAAGCTCACTGAAAGATTTTTGTAGGTTTATTCTTGTATATACTATACACATCCTCTTTAAATACCTTGTAAATTCCTTCCACAAATCCCTGTTGTCAATGTTTTTTAAATTGTAAATATGACATATGTAACTTCTGGGAAAGGGCGTTCCTAAGTTGGATAACTTTTGCCCAATCCATTTCATTTTCGAATAAAATATGTTTAAAGTAAACAACTAACCAGTCAACCAACCAACTAATGTTTGAACAAGCTTAAATAGTATTGAATTAGTACAAGATATTTTGAGGGAACTTACCGTTTTGGGTGGATATACATGAAAACTTTATGTCGGATGAAAAACTGCACATACCAGATGTGTTAAATGCACAAACAGTGTGCACGATGTCTTTACTAATGAACCAGGGTAACTGAGAAATCAAGTACGTTATTGGACCCAGTGATAGTTAGTGGCCAGATTACCCAGGCTGACAAACAAGTAATCATAAAGAAACACAAACTGTAGTAATAGACACTCATCTATGCCCCACATTATCTTACAAGGGAGACACCCGCTGTTACGACAAGGGCGCCCATGATACACTTATGTTACTTATGGAACATACAGATTGGTGAGAATTGTTGACTTCATGCTCTCATAAATGACCTTTTTATATATAAATTAAACAATCTGAAAGATTACGCGAATATAAGGTGTGTTTACTGAGATGCTTCGCTAAAAGAACCAGTGCGCGGGCTCATTTGTCGGTGACTATATGATGGAGAATTGAATGTTATAACCGAGGAGGAATGTGGCAAGTCATCTGTCCTACCACAATAGCCACAAAGCGTTCCTGGATATTTGGTCCAGGCGTTAGAACTGTCCCGTACATGTCACTTAGCAATATACTGCAGTCAAACCAGGACAGACGGTGTTGGTGTAGCGGCGACATAGGATTCACGTCAGTTACCATATCATGTAGTACAATAATACTCTCTATACAATACATTTAATGGCCTGCAGCTGTTTCAGTCTGGTAGAACCACAATAACAACAGACTGAGAATGTCGGCTATATTTACAGCTTCCCAGTCCAGGGAAACAACTGAAGCAAACTTAAACGAAAACATAAAATTTAAATCCTTTTTATTGCTTAGTCTGAGTATGGATAGGTAACCAAGAACTAACCATTTAAGTGGTGTCATATTACGTTTATATGGTACTTTGTTTCACTTAACATAGGGGCGCAGGTAATAAGGTGAAACAGACCGGGGTGTGTTCAACTACAATAGTTTAAAACTGTATTTTATTACACTATATATGGGGGTAGAGCAAATGTTATTTCTTAGATAGATGCATTAGTATTGGAGTTACGCTCGGGTAACAAACCTTCCAAATTGGAAATATCACGTAGTAATAACTTACACCGGTACATCAAATTGCATTACAGCTTTGAAAGAAAACGACACTAATAAAATTTCTACTATATTTTCTCTTATCAACAAAGCTGAAACATTTGATGTGTATTTTGAGCCCATAACACGCGTTAAGAACAATGATATGATTTCTAAAGATTTTTATATTTCGTACAAAATGTACATTTTACAAGTTGGTTATAGCTAAATATGCCATTTGGGATATAATTAAATGCTTACTCATGGGTAACACTTGAACACTAAGTCTTTATAATTGGAGCAAAATGTGTTTTCTGGTTAGTGGAATAAGGCAAATATAATGACATTGTTCAACAAAGGTGACCATAATGTTGTATCTAACTATAGACCAACATCACATATCTGTTGTGTTCGTAAACCATTTAATAGAATTAATGATGTATAATCACTTTCATAACTAAACATATTTATTCCCAAAAGAGGAACCGGATTGGTAAACAAGCAGTATGGTGCTTATCTGAATACCGCTCCGGAATACAGATAAATTAGAGATATAATAATCGTGCGGAGAAAAGCATGATATTAACAAACGATAAACATAGCTTTCTGGAAATGTAACAATCATAAACTGTAATATAGCCGCTTTTAACGTTAGAACCATTAGTGTCGGAAAATACTTAATAGTAAGTGCAATTTCGTTTTTACTATTACAACACAAATCTGCCTGACAGTACAATGAAAGAATGGATAGATTCTAATAATTCAAGATTACCTTTAGCAAACTACTTTGCTCTCTCTCTGTTCTCGTGCTTTCCAACTCTTTACTTTTCAACTGTTTACTTAATGTACTGTACAAACTGTAGTTCAGTTGTGTAAATATCGGGGAGAAGATGTCCTAACTTAAAGTAGGGAACCTGTACCCAATGCCATTCACCTTAAAAGTTTAGTGAAACGTACGTTTCCTTTGTATTCGACGTGAGCCCACTGCATGCTGCCCACAGGGATTTCGTCACCTTTGTAGCTGGCACACTCACCCGGCGTCATCGTGCCCACAACGCTGTGGCTGACACCAGCACCACTACGGACATGAACATTTCCGGTGGCGCATGCGCATCGTTCAGCAGACGACATGTGGAGAATTATCGAATAGATGCAGAGTTGTAAAACAAGCATCTGCAAATACAATGCAACATTAGTACATGTAGTAACATACATATATCAACATTGCCCTGCTGCCATGTGCAGTAACATACGTATATATTAACATTGTCCCTGCTGCCATGTTGTGCAGTAACATACGTATATATCAACATTGCCCTGCTGCCCTTGTGCAGTAACATACGTATATATCAACATTGCCCTGCTGCCATGTGCAGTAACGTACAAATATATATCAACATTGCCCTGCTGCCCTTGTGCAGTAACATACATATATATCAACATTGCCCTGCTGCCCTTGTGCAGTAACATACATATATATCAACATTGCCCTGCTGCCATGTGAAGTAACATACGTATATATCAACATTGCCCTGCTGCCATGTGCAGTAACATACATATATATCAACATTGCCCTGCTGCCCTTGTGCAGTAACATACATATATCAACATTGCCCTGCTGCCATTGCCCTGCTGCCCCTTGTGCAGTAACATACATATATATCAACATTGCCCTGCTGCCCTTGTGCAGTAACATACATATATATCAACATTGCCCTGCTGCCATGTGCAGTAACATACATATATATCAACATTGCCCTGCTGCCATGTGCAGTAACATACATATATATCAACATTGCCCTGCTGCCATGTGCAGTAACATACGTATATATCAACATTGCCCTGCTGCCATGTGCAGTAACATACGTATATATCAACATTGCCCTGCTGCCATGTGCAGTAACATACATATATATCAACATTGCCCTGCTGCCATGTGCAGTAACATACGTATATATCAACATTGCCCTGCTGCCCTTGTGCAGTAACATACGTATATATCAACATTGCCCTGCTGCCATGTGCAGTAACATACATATATATCAACATTGCCCTGCTGCCATGTGCAGCATACATAAACATACCCTGCTGCCATGTGCATATATATCAACATTGCCCTGCTGCCATGTGCAGTAACATACATATATATCTCAACATTGCCCTGCTGCCATGTGCAGTAACATACGCATATATTAACATTGCCCTGCTGCCATGTGCAGTAACATACATATATATTAACATTGCCCTGCTGCCATGTACAGTAACATACATATATATCAACATTGCCCTGCTGCCATGTGCAGTAACATACATATATATCTCAACATTGCCCTGCTGCCATGTGCAGTAACATACATATATATCAACATTGCCCTGCTGCCATGTGCAGTAACATACATATATATCAACATTGCCCTGCTGCCATGTGCAGTAACATACATATATATCAACATTGCCCCTGCTGCCCTTGTGCAACATTGCCCTGCTGCCATGTGCAGTAACATACATATATATTAACATTGCCCTGCTGCCCTTGTGCAGTAACATACATATATATTAACATTGCCCTGCTGCCCTTGTGCAGTAACATACGTATATATTAACATTGCCCTGCTGCCATGTGCAGTAACATACATGTATATCAACATTGCCCTGCTGTCATGTGCAGTAACATACGTATATATCAACATTGCCCCGCTGCCCTTGTGCAGTAACATACATATATATCAACATTGCCCTGCTGCCATGTGCAGTAACATACATATATATCAACATTGCCCTGCTGCCATGTGCAGTAACATACATATATATTAACATTGCCCTGCTGCCATGCGCAGTAACATACATATATATTAACATTGCCCTGCTGCCATGTGCAGTAATATACATATATATTAACATTGCCCTGCTGCCATGTGCAGTAATATACATATATATTAACATTGCCCTGCTGCCATGTGCAGTAACATACATATATATCAACATTGCCCTGCTGCCATGTGCAGTAACATACATATATATTAACATTGCCCTGCTGCCATGTGCAGTAACATACATATATATTAACATTGCCCTGCTGCCATGTGAAGTAACATACATATATATCAACATTGCCCTGCTGTCATGTGCTTTTTTGTGTGCCCGTAAATCACTTCTCCTAAATATGTTCTGCAACATGAGACTTTATGTGAACCCGATTAAATGTACAGTTCGAAATGTCTGTTGACATTCGAAACACCATATTGATTTAACAAAATTACTTTCTTTTAAGTGTTTTTGGAGAATACAAATCGACCTCGCTCTCTCCATAAACTATACACGGTCTAAAATTCAGCACCTTTGAAGTACAGTTCCACTTCAGTGTTGATGTCAATATAAAAACCTACCTTTCTGGTCCACAAGGCAGCACCCAACTATCTCGGTTATCTGAGAGGGTATGGAGTGGCCCGGATCTGACACATATACTTGCAACTGAAATCACCTGAATCCCGGTCAGGTCAGTTGGAATCTTTTAGCCAACAAACCCTCAGTAATAGTTGGCCTGTCTTGTGTCTAGCAGTTAAAACTACAATGAGGTTCGTCGATCGATTTCAAACCAATGTTTGGGCAGATAATGCCCCCGACCCAATGAGTGTCTGTGTATGTGTAACTGCACGGGATGAACTTTTCATAATGACCTGTACCAAATTCGGTTGAGAAACATGAGATGTTTTTTTTCTTCAGACAGATTACAAACATGGTTTCATTCACATGGGATTAAAAATTAACGTGCAGAAAGACAGATAGATTGAAAAGAGAACGATAGCGGGATAGACACAGGGTGCAGAAAGAATTTACTCACAAACAACATAATGTTCGTTTTAATAATTTCACTTCAGTGGAAGAGAGAGGACCAGTTTGTTTGGAATTTTACATCATTTTCGCCGACAATATGTTTTTCTAGTTTGAAATGATATTTTATGGAATATATATGTTGGTTGATGTTTAATTCAGTAGAGTCATATCTTGTTTTGTAAATATATTTTTAATGATAATAAATAATCAGAACAGATGCCTCCGGGTCTCCCAGCAGGATATGAAAGCTGAATAGTTGAATGTCACCAAAAGGTGATAATAGTAGGTGCTGTTTGGAGGTCAATAATCTCCTTATCCATTTAATCTTCATATCAAATGGATATAACAACAAGATATCACAACGATCATTTTTAAGCCACCCTTAGAGTAGTCTTTTGTCAACATTTTTCTTTTGATTTTATCGTGCTTCCCACCCAAAATAAACGTAAATAGTATAGTATTCAAACGTTTGAAAAAGTGTTTAGATGGATTGGGGAGGACGATCAGTGTGTGTGAAAAGGGGAACAATTTGAGTTTTAATTATCGTTATTCTACCTATCTTTTAGGGATCTGCTTAACCACGAGAATAATATTTTTCTAATTATTGAAAACTGCGGTTCGAAATTTAATGTAATCATTTCTTCTAGATTGGTTGAAAAGATTATTCCCAGGATTTTGAAACATGAGAACTTCCCCGTACGAGGCTAAACCCTTCACATGCATCCTTTCTCCCCCTACTGGGAGGGTGTGGTGTGATATACCGTTATATGTCAGGACATGTTTCGAATGTTTGGGCAGACAGTGCCCCCGCACCCCATGACTGTCGTAACTGTGGCTGTGTATGTGTAACTGCACGGGATAAGATATGGAGCATGCTATCAAACCACTGACCAAGAACCTGTCTATTTACTTGCAGTAGTGATATATACTAGTATGCGGCTTAAACACCATTCGCTCAGTCACCTCATTTGATTCTGGTAGCTACATGTTGTAACATTATGACAAATTAGACTAGTTATGTAAAGCTGTAAGCAGGGACTATTTTCTGTAGCCGCATAGCATGCAACGGCGTAGGTATATGTTTCGCACTAGACATGTGCGCCCGAATGCAGAGGTGAATAAAAGTGTCAACTGATCCTTGGAAGATGTTGTCTATCTCCCGATACAACAACTACACATAAAACATGACATGGTGGCAGCGGGCGGATGACGAACGCCACGCGACATTGGTCATAAGCGACCAGGTTTACCAGTATTTAGGACTATGCCAAATCAGAAACCGGAGGGCCAGCCAGATCGTCTGCTAGTTATCGAGATGGCGACATGTGTATAACACACTGACAGTTAAGTACCAGTGGATTTCGTCAACCTGTGCGTCAGCTTGGGTCTAAACTGACGGTATCATAATACTGTGCACCAAATAACTCTCTGAAGTGTAAATCACATGAATATGTATGTCAACTTTTTCCTGTGATAAACTCTGTCTGTCAGCGGGAACGAGATATCACGTGATCAACAAAATGGCGGCTCCCATGTTTCCAAAACAAGTTTCTCGAACCACTGAAGAACCTCAAATCTGGTAAAGATAAGGAAATTTCATCAAACATATTGACATAATTCATGATAAAACAACTCGCATATGATATTCATGATGTCAGAGGCAAATATCAGTCCGAGATTAAACTGGGAGAGTGACGATCTAGCGGAAGCTTTTCGTTCATTCAAACAACGTTGTCAGTTGTATTTCTCTGTGAAAGACACTAAGAAAGATAAACAAGTTGATCATATCTTGCTGTTTTCTGGCGATGAAGGAATCAAAATGTTTAATTCATGGACATTGACTGGAGAAGAGACAAAAAGATCCAAAAGTCATTTTTGACAAATTCGAATCACAAATAGAGCCAGCAGTCAACTACAGATTACACAGATTTCATCTTCAGAAATTCAGACAAAATTCAGGTGAAAGTATTGACAACTTCATGAGTAGATGTAAAAATCAGGCAGCTAAATGCAAATTCAGTGCAAATGAACTGAATGAAAGACTAATAGAACAATTAATTATTGGCACAAATATTCCCAGTCTGCAGAAGGAATTGCTGAGTAAAGATGATAATTTAACTGTTGAACAAGCCATGACTTGTGCACGTGCTGAAGAAGCTTCAATACATCATATGAGCCAATTGAAGGATGTACAGTTGCCACAAGCAGATGTTCATGCTATAAGACATCAGGGCACATGTCAGAAATGTGGTGGCTCTCACGGCAAAAGACAAAAGTGTCCAGCGGTGGGATCCAAGTGTGACAACTGTGGTAAATATAACCATTGGAGGTCTGTATGTAGATCCCAGAGACCGTCTCGCCAGAATAGAGAGAGAGGGCGCAACTATACACCTCGATCACAATCGAGAAATCGTCACCACAGAAGTAAATCACGTTTCCGTCAGAATGACATGAGGCAAGCACCTCGGCAACAGTCTATCAATTCCACAAATGAGGAGTTAGTTGACAACTTAAACACAACAAGCAGTTTCGAATCCCTGACATTCGAGACAATACAAGTTGACAGCACTGATACTGATGATCGGGATGAAGTATTCGTAGTCATTGACACTCAGGTCAATGGAAAACCTGCCAAGCTCAAGGCTAAGGTTGATACAGGAGCACAAGGTAATTTAATACCCTTGAGAGTGTACAAGAAGATGTACCCAGAGAACATAGATAAGGATGGAAAGCCATTTGCAACGTGTGTCACTCAGTCACACACACTACTGAGAGCATATAATGGCAGTAAGATACCCCAACATGGCAAAATAACAATTCCTTGCAGTTACAACGGACACTCCAGAGAAGCAGTCTTTCACATAGCTGATGCAGAGGGACCAATCATTGTAGGCCTACCAACATCCAGAAACTTAAGGCTTCTAATAATACACTGTGAAGTGACAGAACCTATCACACCTGCAAAAGTCAGCAGTAAACAAGACTTTCTTGACACATACCCTGATCGTTTCACTGGCATTGGCAAGTTCAAGGGGGATTTCCATATAACTCTGGACCCGTCCGTAGCACCAGTTATTCACACTCCGCGGAAATGTCCAGTACACCTAAAGGATGATATCCTAAATGAACTGCAGGAAATGGTGAGCATGGGTGTTATCGCCAAGGTGTCCGAACCTACAAGTTGGGTATCAAGCATTGTGTACAGCCGTAAGTCCAATGGGAGACTACGCATCTGTCTAGATCCCAAGGATCTCAACCGTGCCATACAGAAGCCACACCACAAAGCTCCCACACTTGAGGAGATAACACATGAATGTGCTGGTGCAACTGTATTCTCCAAGTTGGATGCCCGCCATGGGTACTGGTCTGTTGTGCTCGACCAAGAGTCAAGTCTCTTAACCACTTTCAACAGTCCATTTGGACGTTACAGATTTTGCCGTCTCCCCTTCGGTCTGAGTCTTAGCCAAGACGTGTTTCAAGAAAGGATGGACCAAATATTGGAGAAATGCCCAGGAACAACAGGAATATCAGACGATGTTGCTGTGTTTGGTAAGACAGATAAAGAACATGATGAAAATCTCCACAGGCTGATGACCGTAGCACGTGAAAACGGGTAAGTGTTCAACCCAACAAAGTGTGAAATAAAGGTAAAGAAGATCAAGTTCTTTGGTCTCGAGTTTGATGAAAATGGAGTGCATCCTGACCCTGAGAAGGTCAAGGCCATCCAAGAAATTCAGCCACCCCAAGATGCAAAGAAGCTCCAAGAATTCCTTGGAATCGCAACATATATGAGTCCATTCATTCCACACCTGTCACAGCTGACAGCTCCATTACGAGATCTGATCAGGAAGGACAGTGAGTATGTTTGGTCAGAATCTCACAAAGATTCATTTGATAGAATCAAGAATCTCATATGCAACAAGGTGACTCTGAACTATTTCGACCCAAAACGTGACACAGTTTTGAGAGTCGATGCATCCACTAGAGGCTTGGGTGCAGTGCTCCTGCAGGGGGATCAGCCAGTGGCATTTGCGTCCAAGTCGCTCAGCGAAACCGAAATGAGATACGCAAACATTGAACGAGAAATGTTGGCCGTTGTCTTCGGATGCGAAAGGTTCCATACTTACTTGTATTAAACGAAGTTTGTAGTTGAATCGGATCACAAAACCCCTTGAGATGATCCACCTGAAACATCTCTCAGTAGCACCACAGAGACTGCAGCGAATGCTGTTGAGAATTCAGCCATACAACTTGTCTATCAAATATCGCCCAGGTAAAGACATGCTCCTGGCCGATGCACTGTCTCGTTCACCATGCTGCGAAAATAAACATATTGACTTTGAAGTGAGAGTGGACTTCGCACAATTCTCCCAAAAGAAAATTGAATCCTTAAAAATGGAGACTGATAGAGACCAGAGACCATATAATAGAGGGACGGCCCTCTAGCCAGTGCGCAAAACCATCAGCGCTACGGCTTGTACTGCGCAGCCTATCCGGAAGCTGGCAAAAACGTGTGTTGACTTCAGTCATCGATTTTGCGTATTTTCATTGCAAAGGTAAGATTTGATTTTTTTCATGTATTCTCATGCATATACTTACATTTGCAACAGTGCATTAGAGGTGTATTAGGGGTGCTAAAGCATATATTTGTCTTGGTATTTGATGAATACTGTCATGTGTGCTCGTCGTTGTGTGAGAACAATGGCGGAGGTGTAAAATCGGCAAAAGTCCCGATTTTGATTTTCAATAACGGATACTAATTCTCAATGCAAATCCTTAGTTACCGGGGTGTAATGAAAGAAAATAAGATAAAGATTTGTATAGGGGCATTTATAAGTCTGTGGCGTTCGCGTCATTCCTTATTTTGGCTCGTGCAATGCGATGAAATATGATGTTTTGCGAAATATTTTACTCCACAACACTTGATTTTCGCACGCTTTCACAAGAACAGCTTATTACTAGCATGTTTAAAATAAACATGTGAACATTCACGGCGATTTCCTCTTTTGCGTCGTACACTTTTTATATGGCTACGATCGGTATTTTATTTTTTATGATTTTTGGCGTAAACCCTTATTTGCGTCGTATACTGAACATTTCAATTATCATGTAGCAGACGACATAACATTAATTTTGTTCATTAATATAACGTGAATATATATTTAAATCATTCTACAAAAGTCTCATTCACCTAATCGTTTGAAAAAAAGTACATATTTCCATTATTGTTCATTTGGATGATTATATTTGTGGAAAAGGTCCTTATTTATCATGTAACAATTCATATATTTTTCTGTTATCATTATTCTTCCTACTGAAGTTAGAGTTTTATTGCTATATATTATTATATTATTATACAGTACTAGCAGCCTGACTTTATGCAACAATGAATCAACATTTTATTTATATCATTACACTATTTATATAATAAATTATCATTTGTTTGGCAGATGCCCAGGAAAAAGAAAGTTTTCATCAGCAGTCGCCGGAAGGGCTACTCAAAGTGGGGTCCGAGACAACAAGGTGTCAGTTCTTCCTCTCTCTCTGACATTCTTATTCATCAGTTCAATCATCTGTTCTCGACGATTGCAGGTAAGTAATAATGGAAGTAAGAAATTCACAAATGATGTCTTTGAAAAAAAATGAGTAATTTTGTGTTGATATTTTGTAGTTATTGGTATTTATTTATTTTATTGGTACTTGTATATCTGGTACCTGCAGAAATAAGTTTAAAATATCAAAGCAATTGTATAATCAAATATTAATATTGTTTCTTTTCTTATGTAAAAACAACGGTATAGTGTAAATTATTAAATACAATATTCCCATCTTGAGTAAGTAACTAGACCTTGATGTCTTTCAGTGGCATTTAGAAGTTGTACATTGAAGACCAAGATATTTTTTATGGATTAAACTTCTTTTTTAATTTCTCTCACAACGTTTCGAGACCATTCCAGGTCCCTTCATCAGGTGAACTCATTTACCTTCATTCTTTCACCTGATAAAGGGACCTGGAATGGTCTCGAAACGTTGTGAGAGAAATTAAAAAAGAAGTTTAATCCATAAAAAATATCTTGGATAACTAGACCTTGTTTGAAAGAGCATTGGCAACCAACTATTGCATAATTTTAACAACTATTTAGAACACTTCAAATTTATTTTTTTAATATTAATATTGTGTAACTCCATTTTCAGTTCTAGAGATGCACTGTGGGACAAAGCATGGAAGTCATTCTTCATTGACCTCACCGATGAACCCACAGATAGAAGCGACAGATTCTGATGGTTGTTCGGCTGATGAATTCTTTGGGTTTATTTGACACAATTCACCAGTATCATCCGGACAACAATGTAGATGAATTTGTTGATGGCATCCTGCGAAAAAAGGAGCTGTTTCAGCATGTAGATGAGCTAGGCAATTTTACAATTGCAAGAAACAAGCGTGAAAACATTACTATTGTGCAGTTTTATGACTGACGTAGGCTCAGTCCAGCTTTCAGTAGTCATCAAGCCATCCTTTACATCAGCAATATATGCATATCGACGTGACTTTGGCCCAAATCATGAATTCTGGATTGGTTTACCTGCATTTTTCTCCACTCTAAGAGATATGAAGAAACTTTTATCAAAACTGACTACATACCATGTTTGCGTCGGCAATTATGAAGACAGATTTGCAGACTTGATTCCAGTTGGTGCAGGCATAAGTGAAGGAGCTATTTCAACAATATCTGCCTAATAATTTAACATGTAATAAAGTACATGAGTAGAAATTATGGAAATTAAAATCCAATGTACAGTTCACTTCATGGATATCTAAAATATCTGTTAATGAAGTTATATTAAGATTGTGTACAGATTTGTATGATTTTATGTTTTACATTCACAATCAGTCCTAAATGGACAACATAACTATGCAGGTTGTGTTGCAAGAAGTTTATAAGTTATCTTCCCTTATTTTATCATGACTACAATTAATATATTTTCTGTTATCATTATTCTTCCTAATGAAGTTTGATTATGAGTTTACCTGGTCTTAGACAGTACCAACAGCCTGTCTTATGCAACAACAAAAATGAAAAATGAACTCATTATTCAACATTATATTTATATCATAAAATTATCATTTGTTTTGTAGATGCCCAGGAAAAAGAAAGTTTTCATCGGAAGGGCTACTCAAAGAGCCTACTATTAAGTACAATATTCCCATCTTGATTAAGTAGATATACCTTGTTTGAAAGAGCATTGGCAACCAACTATTGCATAATTTTAATTTCAAATTCAGTTTAGAGTTTATTTGCAACAGTTGAAATCACATTTACTGTGTTTTTAATGAAAGAATATCTAAATGGTTGAATTTAGTAATACATGATTGTACATATAGATCTATGGTCCTATTCTACAATAAATACATTGTACATATAAGAACGTGTGATGTTGTGTTTTAATGTTATTGGTAACATTTTCCTGCCAAGTTAAAGTTGACACTTTGCTGAATTTTTTTAATTGATAGGGTCATGTATTACAGCCCATTTAACACATATATTTCATGGGCTCGGAGGCAAGTGACTTTAGTATTTAGTGGCTTCCCTTTGAAAAAAACCCAACAAGTGTCTCCATACGGCCCAAAGCATAATCACTGCTAGCCCCAAACTGGCATTATAAAAACATTAACGCTCTTGGAAAATGTGAAATCGTGTTTCGTTGGGACTATAAACTTTATAATAAACACCAGTCAGTCACAGGCCCTCGTGTTTTTCCGAGGATTCATGATTTTAATAATATTGTTTTTGAGATGACACCCCGACTCGAAATGCTTCACAGTACAATACATAATGACAAGGCCGGACACTTCTAGGGTGCACCCTACCCGACTGCGTTGCCGATCGCTACGCTACCATCGCATGCAATCGATTAAAACTTTATGTAAACATAATCATGGATGATTGGCCTATCGAGCAACACCTACCAATTCTTTATTGTTATTTCTGCAAGTCGATTGAAAACCAATTTGACTCTCAACTAAACGATCTTGACACAAATGGATGACAATATGTCCGCACACAAAAAGGGGTGTGGTCGAAGCAAGTCCTCTGATTGGCTAACGCTTGCAAATCTGCACATTCTTCATAAATTCGCGGGAATTTTTACTTTCATCGACTGCTTGACCACACCCTCGTTTTGTGCCAACGAATACTTGCAAGTAAATCTTGAGATTAGCCATCTGATGATACGTTTAGCGAGCATCGGGGATATTGGCAACTGTAATGTTAAAACTGCCTTTACCTGACTGGGTTAGTTTGATTTTTGTATTTTTGGTTTATATTCTCTGTCCTGTCGTAGTCTGTGAATTCTCCAAGTAAGTATCGAGGTCCAAGTCGGAATCATCCCAGTGAATGAATTAAGTCGTCCATGGCCTTGCCGAATGTTGAAACAAATATTCCAGGCTTATGACGACACGCATTTCGCGAATGATACATGTTCTGCGATGTTGTCAGTTGACATGTGCAAATGAGAGATAAGATAAAAATTAAGATTATTGTAATCAGTTTAATGGAGCTGTCCATGTAATGTTTAACTGTCAAACGCAGCCGGTGAAATCCCGCTAAGGGAATTAACTCTCGGCCCGGATATTACGCAATATTGTTTACGTGGTTACCAGAGTGCTCATTTGCGAATGTCTGCGCATTTGTTGCGCATGTGTACCGGTAGAGGGAAGTTAGCAGAAGGGTGTCGATGTGTATCAGTTACATGCCAGGCCGTAGCGCTGATGGTTAGTGATAAACTGTTGGGGAGGGCCGTCCCTCTATTATATGGTCTCTGTAGAGACACAGAACTCCAGGTCCTGAAACAGTACAATAGTGATGGGTGGCCAGAACGTCAAAATCAGGTAGCAGCCCCACTGAGACCATACTGGGCATACCGTGACGAAATGTCCATTGAAGATGGTATTCTGCTAAAGGGAGAATTGTAGTTGTTCCCAAGACCATGAGGAATGAAATCCTCGATAGGCTGCATGACGCTCATCAAGGCATTGAGAAAACCCGACTTCGTGCAAAAACCTGTGTGTTTTGGCATAGGATGAATAGTGACATTGAAAATATGGTCAAACAGTGTCATGTGTGTCAGGAATTTCAGAACACACAAAACCATGAACCGTTACTACAACACGAATTGCCAACTAGGCCCTGGCAAGTTGTAGGTACTGACTTGTTTTATCAAGACGGTCAAGAATACCTCATAGTATGCGACTACTATGCTAAGTTTCCCATCGTGAGGAAAGTCTAAGGAAATGGAGGAAGCAAAGCAGTTGTACATCTGTTAAAGCAGATATTCTCGGAACAAGGTGTGCCAGACACAGTGATAAGTGATAACGGGCCACACTATTCATCTGCAGTCTTCCACAATTTCGTCAGTTCGTGGGACTTCAGACACATCACATCAAGTCCGCACTATCCCCGCTCCAATGGATTCATTGAACGCCAAATCCAAACTGTAAAGAACGTGTTTACAAAATCGAAAAACACCAACACAGATGCAGATATGGCATTACTGATATTGCGCACAACTCCAATTGACCACCATCTTCCATCACCTTCTGAATTACTTAACTCCAGGAAGATGAGAGCTAATTTGCCGATGAGGGTGAGGAATCACATCAGTGACAAAGACGTTATCCATCAACATCTTGAAAAGCGTCAAGAGCTCCAGAAGCTCCATCACGACAATAAAGCAGGCCATGAGCTAGCTTCTCTGTTACCTAATCAGAATGTTCGGCACCAGGATCACCGAACTGGTCGATGGTATCCAGCCAAGGTCACCAATGGTTGTGACACACCACGGTCATATCTCCTGGAAACAGGAGCGGGTTCATCAATACGACGAAACAGACATCAAATACGGGAGATTCCAGAAAAATCACAAGCGATACCTCCAAATGTTGAGCCTAAGTATGTTGTTCCAGCTCAACCTCAGAGTGAAGCTCCACAAGTACCCAAATCAGCTCTGAAAACCAACACTGACAGTAAACCAAAACATGTGAGCTTTGAGCCGAACACCCAGCCCAGCTCAATGGATACAACACAGAACTCTCCAGACAAATCAAGCAAAAACAGCAGGCCACTGATGCAACACACCAGAAGTGGCCGAGTAATCCAACGACCACAACGTTTCAGTGAATGACTGAACTCTCAAGTGCATTGTGTTAAATTGTGTTATCGTTGAAGATACACAACAACTGACTGACTATTGATTACGATAGCATTGAGACATTGCTTTTACGTTGTTATATAGGTTAGGAAACCTGTTATCGATTTCTTCTTTTTTTTGTTCAACAGACCTCTTTAAGTTGAAATTGTTATGAGTTACTCTGAAGGATTTTAGTATTTTAAACGTGGGGTACTAATAAGTTCAACTGAAGAAAAGTCCAGTTTCCAGCCTTTAAAAGAAAGGGGATGTAACATTATGACAAATTAGACTAGTTATGTAAAGCTGTAAGCAGGGACTATTTTCTGTAGCCGCATAGCATGCAACGGCGTAGGTATATGTTTCGCACTAGACATGTGCGCCCGAATGCAGAGGTGAATAAAAGTGTCAACTGATCCTTGGAAGATGTTGTCTATCTCCCGATACAACAACTACACATAAAACATGACACATGTCTGGAGTATAGCTGTATATAGTTGTAACAACATTGTAACATGGATGTGTGAACTGCCAATCGGAAATAGAACAGAATACAGTAGGTACATGTCAACCACACTTTTATTATAATAAATACTGCTTACAATATGGAAAGATAACCAATCCTTCCCCAAAGGCCCAACATCCATACCACTTGCAGGACTAAGATTTCTTGAACGAACACGGGACCTCGGCATGATGGACTGACCATTTAATCTACCACTCTGACGTACTCAAGACTGCTTACTATGTTTTACGGAAACCTGGTTTAATGACTCAATTAATAAGGAAACTCTAGCGCTCCCCGCATTCGGAACCCCTATTAGTTTAGACAGGAGGGAGGAAGACACGGGAAAATCCGTGTTCGGTGGAGTGTGTGTTTATGTCAATCAATCATGGGGCAAGAACACAGTTGTAAGAGAGAAAAGTTGCACTCTAGATATCGAACTTTTGTCAGTTTCTCTTCGCTCATCCTAATTTCCCCGAGAGTTTGGTCAGATATTCATTGTTCTCGTGTACATCCAACCCAGCGCCAATAACAACACCGCTTCCAGTATTATCCACAGCCACGTGCAACACCTGGAGTCAATCTCACCCGACGCTCCTAAATTTGTGCTAGGAGATTTTAACGGTGCTTCACTCAAGACAGTCATGCCCTATTACGAACAATATGTCCAGTGTCCCACACGGTTCCAAGCAAAAGACAGTCGACCTATGCTATGGCAATATTAAAAGTGCTTATAAACGTAAACCAAAAGCTCCACTATGTTCCTCTGACCACAACAGTGTCCACCTTGTGAATTCATATCTACAGAAACTGAAAAGAGAACCAGAAAAGAAGAAAATAGTGAGACAATGGGACTCAGGCTCAGTGGAGCAGTTGCAGGGTTGCTTTGACTGACTGGGACAGCCTCCTTGATTCATGTAACAATCCCTGCACCATCTCTCATGTGTTAACAGATTTTATTAACTTCTGTGTTGACAACATAATTCCCCAAAAAGAAATAATGATTTACCCAAATAATAAACCGTGGGTAACCAAAGAACTCAAACAAATTTTAAACGAAAAGAAAAGAGCCTTCTGTTCAAACGATAAAGTAAAACTGAAACAAATTCAAAGAGACATAAACATTTAAGTTAAACAGTGCAAAGAACAATACAAGGACAAGATTGAACAACAGTTCCGAGAGAACAATAGTTGCCAAGCTTGGAAAGGCGTGAAGACCATCATTGGACAGCTTAACAAGCCCTCACGTATCAATGTAGCAGGCGGCACTGTCTTCGCCGAACAATTGAATACGTTCTTTGCGAGATTTGACAACCAGGTCTTCACTACAGAACGACTTAACATCATGGGTAACTTTAACCCTAGAAGTGCCGATAGGATCATCATTACACCAGAGACTGTCAAATCGCAGTTTGCTAACATTAACATTCGGAAAGCTACAGGGCCCGACAGATTGGATGGTATTGTGCTAAAACGTTGTAGTGAACAGCTTTGCTATGTCTTCAGTCAGTTGTACCAGCTTCTATCGACAACCATATTGTTCCATCCGTATGGAAGACATCAAATATCATCCCGGTGCCAAATAAAACCAACGCTACAATGCTTAACGATTCTAGACCAGTGGCTCCAACCTCGATTGCAATTAAATGTTTCAAGAGAATATTGTTACGTTCTTTAGTATGTGATATCGGACATCTTCTTGATCCCAAGCAGTTCGCATACAGAGCTAAACGAGGTGTGGAAGACGCTAAAGTTGTTATGTTAAACAGTATTTGCAGACATTTAGAAATCCCTAAGTCTTATGCCAGTTCTTTTCATTGACTTTTCCTCTGCTTTTAATACTATTCAACCCCATATTTAACTGAAAACACTTTTAGCAATAAATGTAAACAAGTACCTCCTAAAGTGGATTGAGCAATTTGTAATCAACCGACCACAATTTGTTAAGTTCTGTCAATCAAGCACGCTCATCAACTGTGAATACAATACTGGAGCACCGCAGGGTTGTGTCATCTCGCCCGTACTGTTCATTCTGTACACCAATGACTGCCTGAGCAGACACCCAGATTGCCTGACAGTGAAGTTCGCGGATGACGCAGCTTCAGTCGGACTTATACAAGAAAGTGAACTTCATTACAGAAATGACGTCAAGGACCTTGTAAACTGGTGCGAAAGTAACTATCTTCACTTGAATGTTAATAAGACAAAAGAACTTATTATAGATTTTAGAACTAAAAGAAGTGTGCCATCACCTCTGGAGATTAAAAATGAAACAGTGGAAATTGTAACTGAATACAAGTATCTTGGCACAATCATTGATGAGAAACTACAATGGACTGCTAATACCGACTTCATATTTATGAAATGCCAGCAGAGACTATATTTTATGCCTAAGTTAAGCTCTTTTAATGTTATCAAAGATGTTATGATACTATTTTACCGTTGTTTTGTTTGAAAGTGTTTTAACTTTTTCTATACAATGTTGGTACGGAATTTTTAACGTTAAATGCAAATCTTATCTTCATAGAATTGTTTCATTGGCCAGCAAAATGTCAGGTGTTAAAGTTGATGATTTATCCTCTCTTTGTACAAGCCGTGCAATAAGCCTCTCAAGAAGGAGTTTATCTGACGATACCCACGTTTTTTAAAATTATATTATAGGATATTATAGGATATTTATATAGCGCACATATCCAGGCAACTACTGCATGCTCAAGGCGCTGGTATTTTCCCCTCGATCATTGGATGTCAATCTCAACGGCACATCGTATTATCAATCTCAACTCCCTGGGGAGTATACAACTCTTGCAGCCACTAGGCGCACCGAGTTATTGTGGCTTTCTCATCCTAATGGGGTACCTATTCACAGCTGGGTGGACTGGGACACATAGTCACAGTACTTTGTCCAAGTTTATTGTACCCGCAACTAGGTGTTTGCACGTATTCATGTGGCCACCATCTGGTCACATACCAACGGATTCGTAGGTTCTTTAAGTGCACAGGATTGTGTACTGTACACTAGGGGTTGTGACAACACCGAAAGAGTCTGCACACAAAGTTGACTCCAATGTTTTTACACCCGGTCACAGGTGGGCTCGATCCCGACACCTCAACTTCGCTGGATCACTAGCCTGACGCCTTAGCCAGCTGGCCCACCATGCCCCTGGATATGCCCTCTTACCATCCGGCCGGCGATACTCAGTGCCACATTTTAAAACTTATAGATTTAAAAACTCTTTTGTACCATCTAGTATAAGACCTCTAAATGATTGTTAGATTTTGTTTTTCCTCTGCGAACTGTATGTACATGTATGTGTCATGTTTGTCCTATGTTGCTATATTTGTCATGTATCTTATTTTATTCAGTTGTGCACTTTCAAATGTAAAAGGAATTTCCTCCTGTGGGTAATAAAGTATTGTCATTGTCAAGACTGCAGATCAAGATCATGGAACCGAATCCGTTGGAATCATTGACACAGTTATGCATTGATTAGTGATGGCTTAAACCCATCTTAAACTCATCTATTCCCATTATCATCTTGAATCCCATCCTCGTGGACTTTAATTGCTATTTTGCACGCGATTGTTTGTTTGTTGTTTTACGAGTTGCTTAACGCTGCACTCAAAACCATTCCAACTGGATGATGGTGGTCGAGTCTGAACATTCCAGTGATTGAGATCATGAGAATCGTTCTACGCATTTGTCACATGAACATGGTCGGATTATCATGTGATCAGGTTGTAATACTCTGACGTACAAACTTTGTCAATAAATAACATATAACAATAAAACAGCACATATGGCTCGACAAATGTGATTTTATTTCGTACAAAAATGCATGGAATACGTTCGGTAATCTCCGGGACATACCGATAACATCCGACATCAGGGAAGCAGGAAACTGCTAACGGTTTGCGGTATGATTGATCAAAGGATGATTGTTTCACAAACACGGGAACCAATCAAAACTTGCATAATATAGATCCCGTGAGTACATAACGTGCTGGGTTCAACAGTTGTATTTACATTCACGATATCTTCCTTTCCCGAATAGAGAACACATGCTTTCTGTGAGCTTATCTCGCACATCCTTGACGTTTCCGAAGAAGAGGGTAAAGCAAGCCATATCCGGACATACACACACAGACCCTGTATTCGCTGACTAAATACAGAAGGGGAAGACCGTACGCTGAACAGCTTTATGCTCAGTGCACATTTGTCAACCGTCTTCAGGCAGTATTGCCCCTGGTATCTGTTATAAAGCATACGTTCTATTCGGGTCAGGACTACATACACCGAGTCTACATGCTAACCAGTTCAACACAATAGTCCATACATTGCGGCTACACGTTGAATATATACACCAGCTGTTTCAGGCTGCAACATCAGAAAATTGACAACGTCTTAACATGGTTTGATATTGCTGGACAAGAGTGAACATGGCCAATGACTAAATAATAAACAATACAATCAGCCCTGGATGTTCAACTTTGGCATGCATGAAACTGATTTCAACATACATACGAAGAAATGAAGACCCTCGTTGAAACACACAACATATTTATGTAATAGCTGAAATGTTATCGAAAGTTCCGTTTCTCCAGGGCCCAAATCCAGAACACTGAACACCGCGTAACGGCGATGGTAACCCTCACGCTTTACCTTATAACAGACCTTCACCTACATCACTTTGTGGTCCAGGATCCCCTACCTGACTGGTCCAACCAGGTGCCACTGTTCCCAGTGGAGAAGAAATACAGAAAGTGTTCACTTATCCAGTAATCCAATAAATCCACATTCTTTACTGGGTTTTTTCTCGTCTTTCTGTTTTTCGAAAACACAAATCGTCAGTTGTGATTTCAAACAAAAGTATCTGAAAGTCCTAAAAATCCTCGTTCGTGAAGAACGAGCCGATGTATGCAAATCACGAATGATTGTTCTCAAAATCACATATACAGTTCAGGATGTAATGAAATAAATATACGGGCATCAAGTCAGAAAACCAATGGTATTTACAAGAATCTTGACCTTTCATGGATCATGGTTTAAAAGTTACATATACATAAATACTAGTAAGTATAAATAAGCACGTAGACATTCAAGTTATCACGAACATCATGCCATACATCAAGTATATTATGCACATTAACACGGCAGTGGTTCCAATTCAACTGCAATTATAACGTTCTTCTCACATTTAAAACCTTTCCCTGTTCAAAAAGAATTCCCACTTTGTACTTCCCGTTAAGTTTCCCAGTCGCACTTGATAAAAATACATCAGTGTCTGATGTAAACAACAGCATCAACTACCCACATACAGACAGCGTAAAGGCGGGATACATATATGCAGTAACAAGTCTCATATCTCCAACTTCTGTGGACTCAGTGTCATACTGAACTCAAGAATATGGCATAGAGTAAGTAATGTTAAGTTATGGAGAGAACAAATATTGCTCTGACAAGCCATGCATAATAGGGAAAATATGTTTTTTAAACCACGACCAAGGCGCGTCCTGGGGACAGCTCCTCACAGTCGGACGATTGGACGCAGCCTTGAACATTATTTCAGTATTCTACCTGCGTTAGAAGTGGAACCTATAACTGCACGACGCAGATCGCATATGTTCCCCAATGTGGTGAAACCCAACATCCCTGCTCCAATGCTGACAAACAGATGACAATGAAGTATTAATGCTGTAATATGCTCTTACCCGATAGTATATTATCTCTGAGTTGGTTCCCTGTCATTATAAGGTTATGTGTTCAGTTCCCAGCCAAAATAGTGATAAGTAGTACACCAAAATATGAAAGCACTGAGCACTCTGGTTGAGTAAGTGATACACGAACTGTGACAAAGTAGTACCAAACCCACCAGTCATTCCCCGGTTGTTGTTTGTAGCTAATGTCACTTACATCCAGCGGAGGTTATATGAGACATTCGCATCACCCCTTTACAGAAATATACATGCCTTGCAGATACACAAGGCCTTCTGTATTTATCACTTGCCCATCAACGTCCTCTCCCAGCAGCTGGACCACGGGCTCTATCACAGGTTATCTGACATCAGCCAATGGATGGACTCAACACACGGCGAGCTGTGACTCTCTATACACGCAGTTTGTCATTATACTGAAGGGCTTCCCTGTCACAACAGGCCAACTATCACTATAACATCAGACCGGCAGGGACTTGTCCACTTAAATGAATTATACATCTGCAGCCTCCCGAGCACTTCAGTTCGGATGCCAGAACCACACAAAACCTAACAATGTTGTCATGTGTAAAATGTATTAATATCGTTGATCTCAGGTTCACGTGGCAGGGTCCCATGAAGTCTTCAGTAGTAAAACTGCCGATTACACGTGATCCGGAGCTTTGTGTTGGCTCTCCTCCAAACAAGACCAAATGTTAATTCTGAGACAACCAGCTATATAACAGCAATATAAGTTTGATTGGCTACATGCCTGGCTGGTACATTGGAAACATCATCGTCAGCATTTCGAAAAAACTAGTTCAACATCACAAGGTAAAAACACAGACATAAGCAGCACCACAAAAATTAATCTCATTGGTGTCTTTGTCATCTGTCTCTATTGACATTTCTTGTATCTGCATTTGACAGCAGCAATTACCATTGTCATCCTCATAACTTAGCAAAATCTCTCCTGCAAGGCCCTGACCAAATAGGTAACACAGGTGAGGGTGAAAGCGGGGCAGGTGAGTGCATCATACATATCATACATCAGTTACTTTCTTCTGTAGGCGGCGAAGGGGGCATTTCAAGGCTGTAGGAATCGCTCACAGTAACATTGTCAATGTTGATGTCGTCAAACATATCAATATCTACATCGCTGACAGCGTCGGGAATAAAGTAGTCCTCGTCACTAGCCATTCCTGGCCTATAATTATCATACTCAGATTCATACGCTGCTGACCCCGAGTCAAAGTTCACGGCAGGATCACTCTTAGACATTTCGCTGCTGCTGGCGAGGGAGGACACGCTGATGTTGTCAAGGGTAGTGGGTTGTTTCCCGAATATCAGTGGGATCAAATATGAATGCTTGATTTTAGGACTTCCACACGTTGATGAAGCGTTGGATGAAATAGCTGAAGCGTAATCTTCCCGATCGCTGGGGATATAGTCCAGACTTCGACAGTGTCGTGGCGGCATGGTGTGCGCCTGGCGACGTTTTACTTGGAAGGGGTTAATGGATAGTCGGTTGTGCTGAGCTGGAATAGTTTTTGAAGAATCGTTTTGTTTAGGATCATCATTTTCTGGTTTGGTCGGGCCGTTTTGGTTTGCAGTTTTTGGTCTGGGAATTCGACTGGCTTTGCTAACGTCTCTAGGAGAACGCCCTGCTCTTGGGCTACTCAGTCTGAGTCTGGGAGAGGGCAATCCGTCACTTTGACAGTGTGGCTCTCCAGTGAGCTCCTGTAAGAGTTGAGTGAGCGATGAAGATGCTGAAGGGACTGGGAACTTTGGCGTAGGAGGACATCTTGGTATACTGTTGATAGTATCACTGGACCTTGAAATCTGCCTATCCAGACTGCGGTAGGGAATATCAAAATACTTCATATCTAAGTCATAATATTTCCCCTCGGGCAAAGTAATCTGACGTATATAGGCAGGTCGGGAAGGTTTTAGTTCTATTGGTTGTAACAACACAATTGATGAATTGTCACTCATAGGTCGAGAACTAACAGAGTCTTTGTCATCATCCGACATATTTGTCAGTGGCCTCTTAGACGGCGAAAATCGCGCCTTTGTTATTCTTGGGGACTGTGTCGCTAGGCTTTCTTCAGACAAAACACCATTCACTTTATGCTTGTCTCCCCCCGATGGCACCCTCCTCAACGCAAGAGATGGGCTTTCTGGGCTAGGAGGGAGGATGGACATAGTCTTACCATCAACACTGACCACAAGGGCAGATGTTGGCGTGAGCGTGGAGCCTGAAGAGTTACTTTCCCTTGACCCAGACGATGATCGTCGGATCTCTGGTTTGGGCGCAGGTTTGGGAGGAGACTTCTTTTCGCCGTTGGTAGAATTCCTATCTGAAGAGGCATTGCTTTTCTGAGTCGGGGTAGAAGAGTGAGACCTATCAATGGGTTCTCTATAAACTGCTGTCACAAACTTCTCCTCGTCCTGTCGGATGGGAGTAGCCGAGAGTGGAGGACGAGCTACACTCTTCAGGAAAGGTCTGTTTGGGTGAGAAGGGGAGACAACCTGACCCAGTTCTTTGATAATATTGCTCATTGGTATAATCTCTTTCTCTGGCATATCCTTTTCAAGTAAGAATGCTTTACTATTTCTGATATTAGGATCCTCGGGAATGGAATCGTCAGGACTAGGCATTTTCATAGGCTGTTTCATAAATGGAACTACGCCTGCAAACACTAAAGGAGTAGGCCGGGCATAAAGAGCTGTGGTGTTCCCACTGGGAGGTTTACTCGCCATGTCATGCGTGGTTCTTCTTATTGGCTGGGAAGAACTCTGTACCTGGAACGTCTGCGTCATCTGACTCTGACTGCGAACACTTGCCGGACTGGTGGCAGCGGAGGAGTCAGTGGGACTTGTACAGTGAGAAGGCACGTTTCTGTATATTGTGTTTTCGTTATTCGATTCTTTGAGACTATCAAACATTGCATTTTGTATAACATTGCATCTTGACCTATCTGTCTTACCCTGCATCTTGATGTTCATGTAATGTATTGCTGGCAGTTCTGGGGACTCCACTCTGCCCTGAGTGTTCACGTCACCAGACAAACAGTTTGTTACGGAGGAATTGCTCAGTTTCCGGAGTGGGTTCCTCGGACTGTCATTACTGTTCTTCCTTCTGGAATTCTTACTCAGGCTCCCAGGAGGAGTGGGCATGTTACCTCTCTGCGAATCTAAACTTGGTTGCCGCTCTAAACTAATAGCACCATAGCCGTTGCCACCTCGTCCTTGAGAGGTCAACGAGCCCTGTTTCACGGAGTCCCTGATGTTATTTCCACTTCCGTATCTCATTGACATACTCTCGCGAGATTCACGTGACGGTGGTCTGGGTAACCGAGGGCTGTCGGGTGAAAGAGGGGATGGATAGTCCGGGAAGAAGCCTCCCGACTTCCGGCAAACCAGGAAGTACGTGATCATTTCCCCTTTTCCCTTGATACTGATCTTGCCACGACACTTGAACTCATACACCTCCTTCAGTCGCGAGTACACCTCCTCTGTCACCTGCAGGTGTGAAATGTGTACGGTTATAGATACATCATTATTATACACAGCGGCGGATCTAGGTCTTTAATAATCCGTTGTTATTTAACGTGACACTCAGCTGCATGGTGGCGGTCCGTAAGTAGTCAAATCTGAACTAGAGAATCCAGTGACTGACATCATGAGCATCGATATGATATGTATCAACCAAGTCAGTCGCCTCGTATGACAAGCATGGATTTTTATCGTATCTATTCTCGTTTGTTTAGGAAACAAATACAATTATGTTTAAGTTATCAAAACACGTATACTAAATGTGAACAGACAAATAACTTTAGACACAACTTTTTTACATGCTAAGAAATGTTCTAACATATTATAGTTCTAAGTTCCAAATATAATTAATTACCTCCTTGAAATATATTTTCTATGCACCAGTTATTATAAGACATATTCAATTCTATGTTATTGTACTGTTTTCTAAAGCAGAAGAGGAACTACTTGCCTGTATGTAATCTGGCCTGCCAGTACTTTCCATACGACTAGCTACATTGACAGTGTTCCCCCAGATGTCGTATTGCGGCTTCCTCGCCCCGATAACGCCTGCTACCACGGGGCCGATGTTCATCCCTGGAAATAGGAATAATATCTCAGATGGAATCAAGCCTGCAAAATCTGTTATTACCAAGTCGCAAGCGACCTGGAGAGTGGCATGACGTTACAGACTCAAACCAACGATTTAACTATTTTTTTCAGAGAGAATGCCTGAATTCTTTCAAGGTCGTCGTATATATGCTAGGTAGATTCTACCTTACTCATTCGGAGATCACGTGTTTGCTATTTTACGTCATGGAAGTCATATATATCCGAGGCCCTCTGTCCAGATAAACCAATGGTCAATAATGTGAGTGAGTATGTCACACAAGTGCTATGACATTGCGATCACTTTCACAGCAGGAAATAGCCTTGTCTCAACACATTGTAACAATCTGATTATTTACATTCACACGCCCCAATCTCACTCATATAACGAAAATTTGATAAGTTGCCCTTACATTTGGTTTGTAATTCACGTTATATTATATAAATGAAATATAAAACACAGTAGGGTGATTAGTGTTTCGGGTGCTTTATTTATGCCACGAGTCTGGAAGTTAATGAAGCGCACTATAAAGACTGACAAACAATTCAGGCAAAGGTTACAAAAATATGTTTGTTATTAGTGGACATTATTATTTTTGTTGTTGCCGGTTTTATGTCATTTAATTTCAAACATATGCAATCGCAGACATGTTTCAACTGTTTTTCTTATCACCAATGTATGCATGATTTCCTCTCAGATAATGTAGTTTTGTTGTTAAAGGGATCACTCGTCACGTTGAAGTCTCGGTTCAATTCCCATTTCTGGTGTGTCGTGCCTATGATATTGCTGGATCAGTGCCAATGTCGAAGGAAAGTGTAACGTGACGCAGGACGTCAACGTTTATTGAACAATGGTGAAACACAGGACGTCAACGTTTATTGAACAATGGTGAAACACAGGTCCTCAACGTTTATTGAACAATGGTGAAACACAGGTCCTGACGTTGTACTACTCACCGACTTTGAGAACAAAATTGTTGTAGGAGTTCTCGTTGATGTTTCTGAGTTTCTCCTTCATGGCAAACACAAACTCCGCCAACACAGTCATGTGGTGCGTCACGGAGACGTCGTTATCCTGCAACAATCGCATCACTATCAACGACCAGGTTCATTACAGGTACGACTATAAGTTACATAATACACGACCAGTGTTGGAATACTGCGATGAAGTAGGTGGTGCTGTTCAACTTCAAAATACATTGAGCACACTGAATTCATGAGACAACACAGTGCACCGTCTTTCTTCCAACATTTACACACCAGCTCGTGTTAGCTCTGCGTGGGTTAACATTTGAGAATGTTCCTTTGATATCTGCAGCCTACAAATCGAAGTGAGACATATTCCTGGGCGACACAAGTGACACCGCAGTGGAGTGTAGTATCTCTCACCTGGATCAGATGTTCCGGCATCAAACCAATGGCTGTCATGTACGTGCTGCCGATGGTTTTGATCTTGTCTATAGCTCGGAAGCGAGGTTCATTCAACAGCTGTAGAAAATATATGATAGAAGTGAAAGGTCATGTAACAATAAACTACCGAAGGGGTATTTGGAAATTATTAGCTTATTGATTATTAGCTACATGAAGTTTTGGACCATCCTGGTGATATAGAAGAAACATCTATATCATGCCACGTGCAAACACATTCAAATCTGAAACCCAGCTACTCTATGTAACGAATGATACACTAACATGGCACTGGACTCCCAAAACGACAGCGAGTGAAAGCACCCAGACAAACCAGTGGTTGACGGCAGGCGCAACAAAGTGGCGGATAAGACGATACCGCGGACAAGGTCATAAATTGTATCAGAACGCAAATCCATCGATATCTTCAACTCTTCTAAATATTGGGATACAATCAGAAAACGTTTATTTGAATCAAAAGAGGTTAGGCCTGAAGGTTATCAGTACAACTAATGTTATGACAGATGTCTTAAGCAATCTATTTTTTAAAATGTTTTAATACTTTCAAGGAAGGAATGATATGTTTCAAAATGCATGATAAACACAGCTTTTCAGAAGTGTCATGCTTTGCATTTTAAAATAGCAAAACAATATAAAAAATGAAACCCTCATTTGAAGAGCTGCTACAAAAGCCTCACCTCGTCGAAGTCGGCGATGATCTCGTTCAGTACCCGGAGACATTCCACACCCTGATTATTGGCATCAAGCTCGATGTAGAAGTCGGAGAAGTTGGGGATGGAGGCGAACACGACGCCCACCTTAGTGTACTGCTGGCTGTACAGCTCCTGTTGAGAGACATTGGACAACTCGTTCATACACGGGACACAGGGGACATATATGCCGACCACCAGGCCCCCGTTCCTCAAAGCGATCGTAGCGCTCCGACAACTGTAAGTCTATGTTAAAGTATGGGAGTTACGATCATCTTAGTCCTACGATGTGGAACGGGACCTAGGTCTGAATGAGTGTCGCCTGGTAACACAAGCTTGGGGTATTGTGAAATATAGCCAACAGGCAGTGCTCAACAACACATTACACTGAATCATGCTGCTTGTCTCATCACTTTCCATATCCAAAGTTTCACAACTATCTTCATCTTAACAGTATTTTCATAATTTCAGTATTTGTTTGGAGTAAGCAGAGGCTGAAAATGCCTCTAACAGCATGTCTACGATGACTGAATATGTATATATTCACTGGCTATTTTCAATTAGATACATATTTTGAGTGTAATGAACCGACCATGTGACTCCTACTGCCGTTGTCGATGAAGTGTGCGGCGACGTGGGTGGGGAGGAGGTTACAGAGGATCTGGCGGTTGTTGGTCTGCAGGTCTGTCATCTCGATCTTCTCCTCCGTCGCCTGTAGACCCCGTACGACAACATTACATGGACAACACACACTAGAACATGTGACACCAGCCTGAGCCAAGGAAATGTTTGTCGTTCATGTTAACAGTAGAATGAAATAGTTCATAACAAAACCAATGAACCGTTCGTAAAGAGCAAGTGTCACGGATAGCAGAAATTTGAAGTTATCTCCCTTTGATCACGTTCAGTGCAGTCGCAGGAAGTGTTACCTTCGACTGACGAAATCGATACATATCTCAGAAAATGAGTGAATGAGTGAGTATGCAAAGAAGGGTATAAAGAATTAAAGAATGTGTACACTCAGCCCGTTTGGGAAGTCAAACCTGGTTTTCCGCTAGATGACTTCTATGACAGTAGAGAAGGGTCATCTAACTACTAAAGAACTGACAGATGAAAGCTGGACACAGTGAGCATGACACGCACCTGAGCCTTCCACAGGAAGTCCAGCCTGTTTGTCCACTCCTGCTGCCGGCCCTGGACAAACAAGGTGATGATGAAGATGATGAGACACACGATGCCGGACACATGGGTGGGGATCAGGGGGTCGCTGAAACAGACAGAGGGCATTGTTAGTTTGAGAGACTCTCGCCATTCACTGTTGTGCTTGTGAAATCGAAGACAAAAAAATATATCTTCCTATACTGTAAATCATGAACGTTAAGTATGATAAAAGAATCAACATTAGTTATTGTTAGAGCGATGTTTGGAGAATCACATGATTGACGGCATTTTATGATCACGTGGTGCATATGTTGTAGATACGAACCCTTATTTTGCCAACCCTAGTGTTATTGTTTAAATGTCTCGGTTTGACGACATTTGAACACAATTCATACAAACTGTTTTAGTACCTTCGCGTCTGCCATAAGTGGAAAACTCAAAGAACCTACTGTATGACTGACATTGTCGCCTGTTCCCGGCATGTTCCCGGCATGTTCCCGGCATGTGCCCCTAAGTTACGACCTAACCTAAGGCGTGTTTCTTTCATTTCTACCCGACATACGCTTACGTTTTGTAAGACGAAGTCATAAATTCAGGACACATAATCCATTTTTTTTTGTAAAACCTTGAATCACATTCATTATTCGATTTCTTAGTATTTTCTGGAACCATGTCTGTTTTCTCCCAAAGACAAATATACAGCCCGTAGTGTATGACAATAACGATAGCCACCTCCTGCAGCCACCTAGTGCCGTGTCTGCATTGTAGCTTTGACACTGATAACAGGTTTACCTTCTAATCTCCGCGGCGCCTAGCGAGTCCCCCGAATTCAAGCCCATGCCATCAAAGTTGTCGAAGACTGTCTTATGTGTGTACTCCATGAGCACCAAGTAGAACGCCGCCATGATCAGCATGAGAGCCAGCCGGATGCAGGAGGACAGTTTGAGGAACACCGAGACACAGATGAAAGACACAATGGCACTCAGATAGATGTACTGCGGCATCGCGCACTTCAGGTGACTGTCGCTTGATGACGTCATCGTGATGTTGGTGAGAAAGGCGAATATATTCCCGCCCTTGCAACAGAACTGTAATGGAAACATAAATGTTGTGAACAACGCAGGAACACATCACACAGTATATGAAGAGAGAATGAATGACTGGTTAATAGTTCAGCAAGAAAGCAATGGGTTCGTGATGTCACATTTTATTCTGTGGTTGGGATTCGAACCCCGGTCTACGCGCGATCATACTGCTGAGACGGGTAGAGTTGCCACTGTTTGAGAGTGTTGTTCATCAGCTACGGAGATGTACTGGTTGTGAGATCCAACACTAGATTGGCCCGGGTGGCTGGTGCAGCATACACGCGTTGTTCGGGATGTACCCCAACTTGAGTTGAAACTTCGGGGTAAATGGGAAATACCGCTCAATGCGGCGTTATACGCAACTCACTCTACAAATAGCCAGTTGATCTGTATAATCAGTTAGACATATTGGTGATTCTTTCAAGAGAGGCTATCTATACATTTAGTAACCAGGAGACACATTGGATCCACGCGATGGCTTAGTTTGGGCCTGAAAGCATAAGACTGTGATTCGATTGTTTACACCGAACAATATGTGAATGCAGTTCTTGGTACCATTCCCCTGATGTTGGTAATGCATTTCTCCAAACCATACTCGATCTCTCTCCAAACCAGCCCCTGTGTAATGAAAAATGGTTATGTCGAAATTCTAGAATCATGGGATTCGTAGCAGGCGATCTCAACATGTTGGTGACATGCAAAGTATGATCAGCATGTTTACCAGACGGACATCTTCATGTTTATCTTCACTGCGCAGCCCCTAGTCGCACCGGCAAACGAAGGAGGAGACCGTGCCAAACTGCACAATACACAGTCAACTATAAACTGCATTATCGGGATGAGTGAGTGAGAGCGGAACTCCTGTAACATCTCCACGTGTCAGCTGCATGCTGGAGTAGGCCATTGTGGCGAGGTTTCAGTGAAACCACTAGTACAGTATTGTTGATATTTGCCATAATGAGACATGCTGAACGCTGAATAATGGACGGAAATGATATTTTCAATATGGCTGCAGTGGCACAGACAACATTGCCGTGATTTACGGTTCCAGTAGTTTCTGAGGCCATGTCGAAAATAGCAACACACTTTACATGAAGGTTATTGATCCTAGCTTAGTCAGAAAATGTTACATAATCATTGTGTTAATCCGCATAAGAAATGTCTGCTGTATACAGAGATCTTAGAGATGCACATGTACAGGTACGAGTAAAGGGCTGGTATGATCTTTCAGCATGATCTGTCTGATGAACTGAAGACAGAACTCGTGCTATACTGTAGGAACACTACATTTAACCCAATACTAAAAATAAAATGTGTTTTCTATTAGGACTGTTGGCTCTATTCACTACAGGATATTGTTTTCAGAACAATCGATTATCACATCAATGGAATCTGATTTTTTGGCTTATTATGATGCAGTGTTAAACATATCATAAAAGGGCATTTATGTACCTTGATGCACCGGTGTAGTTCTCCAAATTCCCCTGAAGTGTATTGAATATCTCACTAAAGTATTGTCGAATTTCACTCCTATATCCCCACAGTGGGCAGTATCGCCACATTTCCCTGACACTAATACGACTCCATTAAGGGTCATTGTGACTGACAGCCAAAGCTTGCCTGCCACGTGAAAGTCTGCAGTTACAGAATTACCTTCGTCATGAAAACGAAATCTGCAATGAAATATTTAATTTCAATGGACACTCATGTTGGGACTGAAAGGGAATGGGTGTTTTAATAATCTTCTTCTCGCGTGATAATGAATAATTACCGTTTAACTATAACGAAGATTACAGTGTTATTTTCTATTTTTTAAAGGATGCAAAAGTATCCGTCTCAATCCATCCTAATTTCCGAAAAATCCCAAATTGACTGGCTCTAAAGTCTGATTGATTTAAGGCTATTTCTCTCACAGATGGAAATCATTGATTTTCACAAAAATACCTCTTTTTATCTGAAATGTAAGATTTAGAGAAGCGATACTTTGGACGAAAAGAGCAAATCTTCTCAATTCCAAATTTAGAGACCATTAATAGAACCTAGGCAGATGACGAATGGAAATTAACCTCTTGAAGAAATGAAAGGGATAATGATATGGTTGATATTCAAAGTCCGACCATTACCTGCCGCCCCCGGTAGGACCTACTCTGAGGTATGAAGTAAATGGAAAGGCCGCGTTTCAATTAAGACAAATCGTCATATGACACTATATATAATGTGAACCAAAGCTGGCAGTATTTGAACATGTCATCTTGAATCATCGACCACATGCTTTTGAAGCGTTCAGTTGCAAGATTTCTTTTCCAGTGCGTATTGAATTCAGCTATCTGAATTGAAGGCCTGAAGGTTGAAATGAAAGCGTTTTAAAAGTACAGGATGACACGGTTTTATATGTGAAGAATTTAATACATCAAACATATCTGGTTAAAACCGAATACAGTGTAATCACCATCATCGTCAGCAGCAGCAGCAACGTCTCACTTCAACAGGGTTTGTTATATTATGGACAGTGGAGACGCGGTGTCCCTGGAGAACACCGTCTTTGACCTGATAAAAGTACTCACCACATTGACCTGAGCCGTAGCGTAGATGAGGACGATGGTAGTTATCATAATAAACAGTCTCAGGGCGGCTGACTTCCGAATATCAAATGGTGTGCACTGGAAGAAACCAACAGTTGGGGAAATGCATTTCTCTCTTGATTGGTTATATTAGGAAGGTTGTAAACATTCAGTCTCTAATATGTAAAGATTGTGAAGGTTATAGGTTATTGTACCTCCTCGCTCAAAGTAAAACGTCAAAATAATGAACCTAGACAATTAACGGAGCAAGGAAGAATGCGCACGTAACAGACCTTGATCTTGACACTGAGAATGTGCATGTAACTAACCTTGACTTTGACACTGAGAATGTGCATGTAACTGACCTTGATCTTGACACTGAGAATGTGCATGTAACTGACCTTGACTTTGACACTGAGAATGTGCATGTAACTGACCTTGATCTTGACACTGAGAATGTGCATGTAACTGACCTTGACCTTGACACTGAGAATGTGCATGTAACTGACCTTGATCTTGACACTGAGAATGTGCATGTAACTGACCTTGATCTTGACACTGAGAATGTGCATGTAACTGACCTTGACCTTGACACTGAGAATGTGCATGTAACTGACCTTGACCTTGACACTGAGAATGTGCATGTAACTGACCTTGATCTTGACACTGAGAATGTGCATGTAACTCACCTTGACTTTGACACTGAGAATGTGCATGTAACTGACCTTGATCTTGACACTGAGAATGTGCATGTAACTGACCTTGATCTTGACACTGAGAATGTGCATGTAACTGACCTTGATCTTGACACTGAGAATGTGTATGTAACTAACCTTGACCTTGACACTGAAATTGTGCATGTAACTGACCTTGACTTTGACACTGAGAATGTGCATGTAACTGACCTTGACTTTGACACTGAGAATGTGCATGTAACTGACCTTGACTTTGACACTGAGAATGTGCATGTAACTGACCTTGATCTTGACACTGAGAATGTGCATGTAACTAACCTTGACTTTGACACTGAGAATGTGCATGTAACTGACCTTGACTTTGACACTGAGAATGTGTATGTAACTGACCTTGATCTTGACACTGAGAATGTGCATGTAACTGACCTTGATCTTGACACTGAGAATGTGCATGTAACTGACCTTGACTTTGACACTGAGAATGTGCATGTAACTGACCTTGACTTTGACACTGAGAATGTGCATGTAACTGACCTTGATCTTGACACTGAGAATGTGCATGTAACTGACCTTGATCTTGACACTGAGAATGTGCATGTAACTGACCTTGATCTTGACACTGAGAATGTGTATGTAACTAACCTTGACTTTGACACTGAGAATGTGCATGTAACTGACCTTGACTTTGACACTGAGAATGTGCATGTAACTGACCTTGATCTTGACACTGAGAATGTGCATGTAACTGACCTTGATCTTGACACTGAGAATGTGCATGTAACTGACCTTGATCTTGACACTGAGAATGTGCATGTAACTAACCTTGACTTTGACACTGAGAATGTGCATGTAACTGACCTTGACTTTGACACTGAGAATGTGTATGTAACTGACCTTGATCTTGACACTGAGAATGTGCATGTAACTGACCTTGATCTTGACACTGAGAATGTGCATGTAACTGACCTTGACTTTGACACTGAGAATGTGCATGTAACTGACCTTGACTTTGACACTGAGAATGTGCATGTAACTGACCTTGATCTTGACACTTAGAATGAGCATGAGGACGATGGCGATCCACGTGAAGGACGCAAGAAACAGCATCAAGAGCAGAAGTGTCCTGTAACAAATATGACGAGTGCGTGAGCATGTTTAAAAGACATTATCATAAAAGTATTACGTAGACGAGATTTAGGGGCGTCACGGAAATGATATATTCAGTTTCTTATCAACTATCCAGGTTGTCAGCCTGAACACAGCAGTCGTGCAACAATCAGGGTGTAACCAGGTCCGCGGTTCTCAAAACTGGGAAATAGATAAAGGCTGGATGTCACCTACCAACACCAACACCTGATCTCACCTGTGTGAGGTATATATACCTGACCTCACATGGACAGCTCGCACGTGGACAGCTCACGTGGACCCCTATAACACCTAATCTCACCTGGACATCTTAACACACCTACAACATCACATCTGCCCTCACCTGGGAAGTATAACCGCCTGGAGTCCGGCAGCACACAGCAACAGCAGCAGGGAACAGATGAGGCTGCCGCCAAAGGCAAAGTCCTCCACAGTCTGATACTGTCAACAACATATTAATACACACTAAGTATTGTGTCACACAGAGGCACATACATTATCAATAGTGTGTTCAGAGAGGCAGGGTTGTACCAGATATGTCTATCCTCATGCAATAACGGTGCACTTCAATCAAATCGTTTTGTAAAGGTAGATGGTGAACAGACACAGCAACATTTCAGGAAACTCAGTCATACAAGGTGGCCAACCAGACTGGACCTGAGCAGCATCCTCTCGCTGGTCCATAATGTAAGTTAACATGATACATAATTACAGAGGCAGAATGGCCTCTGGCATGAGCATTTCCTAGCTTACTCTGCGTTCTGTCTCCGAGCAGCGGAACCGGAGGGTGATGACATTCACGTGGTTCGTCTTCTCCCTCTCCACACTCCGAGCTGTGATGGCCTGGGCCAGGTACTTGTTGACACGGTCCCGGGGTTCAGGCAGGTGGGAGTGCCTACAGTAACATACAACACACATACATCGTATCTCACCCTGGCTGGCATCGAAGGAAGAGCGTGTCACTGAACCGGGTGTTCATACATTATCGAAATAATGCTGCCAAACCAAATGTCAAGAATCTCCATCTCGGATCCCAGATAGAGAAGTACAATATATGCTGTGAACAAGAACCCATTGGCGCTGCTACAATGGAGGAATTTGTCCATGGTCTGCGATATTGCAGCTACATCGACGTGTAATTCGTGTCAATACAGTGAGTGAGTGAGTTTAGTTTTACTCCGCACTCAGCAGTATTCCATCTATATGGCGGCGGTCTGTAAATAATCGAGTCTGGACCAGACAATCCAGTGATCAGCATCGTGAGCATCGATCTACGCAATTGGGATACGATGACATGTGTCAACCAAGTCAGCGAACCTGACCACCTGAATCTGTATGTTGCCTCCTACGACAAGCATGGGTTACTGAAGATCAATATTCTAAGCCAAACCTTCACTGGTCAGTGTCAATACAGGAAATCAGTTGTTGACAACAGGGGCAACAAACCGAGGACGATATGCCCTCACACAGGTCACATTCCCCAGGCGGTCAAACACACATGGGCTGCTCGAGGCCAAGAATCCACATAGAATGACTCAACACACTAGGCTAAACCTAGACTAATTTATGACCTATTGGAAAGAAATGTCCACATACCGTTCTTTAAAGGGTTTACGAAGTTTGTCCGTCATCGAGGCAAATACACTCTGAAAATAGAAGATGATAATAGCATGTGATGTCAAACTTGTGGTCATATGACGGAATTAAAAAAATACTTCCTTCGCAAAATATATTCGGAAAGATCACGACCATTTTGGTTTTTTGTTTTGTTTTTAGAAACATGCAATACAGCTAGGCTATGGACTAAACATTCCGTCTGCGACAGCATGGCAAGCATATCTACGGGACAGTTCTGATACCTGCTTGGTCTAGCGGGAAGTTAAATTGGTCCCTGTAAGATTTATGTAATCACTGAGGATACTTGCCATGTGAAGAGGCAATTAACTGCTGGAACACCGGTTTTCAAGATAGAGTGTAGGTACTAGGTACACATGATTCTTTATGGCTGGATTATCCGGCAAAAACATGAACATTTGTCAACACTCGGTACTTTCCGTGTTCAACACAAGCCATCAAATATGTCACAGATATTCAAGAAATATTCAGGAGAAGCGGACGGTTGATGATGGTTTATGTAAGGCAATGTCTGTCCAGCACACTGTGTTGTAGAAGCTCTCGGTGTCTCCTGTCAGGCTTAGTTGATCTTCAGTTGACTACAACTTCAATTCAACCTAAGTGTGGATACCGAGAACATATACAACCCAGTGTTCGGAGGAGTCAATGCAGATACTTCATATAGTATCAAACACAATGTAAACTGATAGATGAAGACATACACATCTGAAACCAGAATACTTACAAATTTATGAACTGGTTTCTCGTCTTGAGTAGGAGTGAGAACATTCTGGAATGGGATTTCAGCATTAAACTTGACGGACTGCATGAGGCGCATGACACAGTTGGTGACGTTCCGGAATGACAACTTCTTGGGTCGTAAGCCGGTCCAGTCCTTCTGGTGAAACACGCCGGGCTGTGGTCACAGACACGAAGTGTTTAGTGTTCTTGCTTTATAATTGAATACAGAACATTGACACTGGACGCATCGGAGATTGTGTGTACATAGCTTAGACATCTGTCAGCTTCTTAGTTTCAGTGCCCTATGATAGAGAATAAGGAGTTTTTTCTGTATTGATTGGAGACCCGGTTTCGATTCCCCACATGGGTACAATGTGTGAAGACGTGATATTGCTGTAATATTGCTAATGCTAAAAGCGGCGTAAAACCATACTCACTCTTTGTCCAAAGAGTTTGTTCAACCCTTGAGCAGAAAGTACTTTGGTCAGGACATAATGAGGGATTGTATTGATACAGGGAACAAATATAGCACAGGTCATTCATAATGAATATATACTCAAAAACACATGTTGCTGCTCTATCCATGTCGTCGGGTCATACACGATATTGTAGCCAACATGAATGGCACTGTTACTGGCAGGTCATGAAAACATGGTACATTAAGCTGGAGATGTAAAACAAACATCTGGCTCGTTGAGACTGATCATACCAGGCAGGTGTTGTCTATGTAAACATGGTGAGTTAGCCATTTTGATAGCTGTACACACGAACTGCTGGTAACTAATGGCTGGCACTCAGCCTATATCTCACATACACTCCCGCGTGGTACATGCACCATCCATGTGAAGATATACGCCTTCGGGGGCGCGGTGGGCGAGCTGGCTAAGGCGCCAGGCTAGTGATCTAGCCAGCTTGAGGTGCCGGGATCGAGCCCACCTGTGACCGGGTTAAAAAGACTCTTTCAGTGTTGCCACAGCCCCTAGTGTACAGTACACAACCCTGTGCACTTAAAAGAACCCACGAATCCGTTGGTATATGACCAGATGGTGGCCACATGAATACGTGAAAACACCTAGTTGCGGGTACAGCAACGTGCAGTAAACTTGGACAAAGTACTGTGACTATGTGTCCCAGTCCACCCAGCTGTGAATGGGTACATAAAGATGGGAAAGCCACACTAACTCGGTGCGCCTAGTGGCTGCAAGACTTGTATGATCCCCAGGGAGTTGAGATTGATAATACGACGTGCCGTTGAGATTGACAGCCAGTGATCGAGGGAAGAAACAAAGCGCCTTTGAGCAGCTGAGCTGGATATCGGCGCTATACAAATGTTAGTATGTATGTATCCATCCTGACTCGGGTTGGGTTCCAATTATTGGAAATTACTCACTTGGTGTTACCTATTCCAAATAAGAAACACGCATTGGCTAAGACAGCAATATGAAAAGTTTGGTCTGAGTATACTTTTCTTCATCTTTCCCACTGCGATATATCTTCCAGGCCCTAAATAGCTGGCGGTACACAGACCCAGTTTCCGGCATGCGCAGAGCATAAAGACAGCAGCTGGATCATGTACAAGTGAAATCGTTGCTGACTATCTCGTGCTCACCAAAATATATCTTCGCTGGCCACAATGATCTGGAGATATGCGATATTCTGAGTCTGGTGCGAAGAATGAAATCTAAACAATTATTCTTATTCTTAGATCAATACACGATTAAGGCTGTCTAATTTAGCTCCCAGAACATATCTTTTTACACCTGTGGGATTGGCACGCATGCTTTAGCCTGCACTGGCTCCGAGACGTTGACCGCCTTACCTGGTGATTCACATCCTTCTGCTTGATAATCACGCTATTGAGATGAGGATTCACACTAAGTACTACAAAACCTTGAACTCAAATAACATGTGCAGGGAAAGACGCAACTAGATAATATTCTTGCCCCACTTGTAGATCATTGTTTTCAGGATTGAAGTTAACAAACAGTTACGCGGATTACTTTCTTGGAAACGCATTGAGGTCCTGTGTATAACTGCGCTACATTGAAGAGCTTGATTGTAAGGTGATTTTCATTTTCCGTTTGTAACTGGTTTCTTAAAAGTTGAACTGCTACCTGCATTTTTACATATGTATTTAACATTGACTACGAATATTCGAAAAAGAGAGCCAAGTGGAATCCAGTGTAGAATTGGAACTTACCCTTCTAGGAAGCTTGGCCTTGATCAGGTAGGTCTCGATTGCCTCCTCCTTCAGGTAGGAGTTCCTGTCGCCACCATGACCCGGTTCCACTTCGTACTGTCCATGGAGGTTATCCAGCGTTGCTTGAGTGATGTGGACACGTCTGCAAAACAATACGACAGTCAGTGTTAACGCCACCTGGGCCAAGTGTACCAAGTGTCATATACGGGGAGATCCTATTGAGGGTTTCCTTTAACAAACAGGGCTCATTCATAATTGAGGGACTGTGCACGACAAACGCTAACCCCTTAATATTCAGAACGTGATAATGTGATGTATAATGGCCATTCAAAGACAGCCTTCAGTTAGACCTTTAGATATCATTTCAGGAACATTGCTGATATTCTGAAACAATTTCCAAACCTCCTCTAAGATCTATTACAGTTGCTAATGTGATTTACACAACTGAAACACTATAAGCTTGGAAATTAAAAGAAAAGCGTTCTGCGTGTTATGTCCACCAACCCTGGAAGACCCCCAGCCTCCATCCTATTAGCCAATGAGACGTCATTGCTCCATACGTCATACTGCCATTTCTTGAGGCCCAGAACTCCACACAACACTCTCCCTGTATGGAGTCCCACGCGCATGTTCAAATTGACATCAGTAGATTCGCAAACCGTTCTGAAAGGAACCAAAACGAAACATGTCATGTCGAGGCATTTGATCACTGATGAACAGCTTTTTGTAACTATTGTTAAAAGTAGTACATAAATATATTACACACTTTTGCATCTTATTGTCCGTGTTGTCTTCGCCAAGTGAAACAGAGACAACAACAACACGATTACATGTACTCTGTTTGAACGACAACAGATTGCAGACAACAATTATGAAATGTGCCGCGATGAAACAGAAAAAACGAGAAAATACAGAACGAAAATGTCGTAGTATTATCTAAACACTGCCGAACTCAGTGACGCAGTGATTCTTTCTCTATTACAGGATCATTGCTATTCTCTGTTTGTAAAACCCGTTGGACTGCAAGGTAGCTATATAACCAACCAGTATTTCCTCAATGACAATGTTTGAAAGGCAAGGTCCACATAAGTAACATGATTATTCCTTTTTGTCACACAATGTTTGAAAGGCAAGGTCCACATAAGTAACATGATTATTCCTGTTTGTCTCACAATGTTTGAAAGGCAAGGTCCACATAAGTAACATGATTATTCCTGTTTGTCTCACAATGTTTGTAAGGCAAGGTCCACATAAGTAACATGATTATTCCTGTTTGTCTCACACTGTTTGTAAGGCAAGGTCCACATAAGTAACATGATTATTCCTGTTTGTCACACAATGTTTGTAAGGCAAGGTCCACATAAGTAACATGATTATTCCTGTTTGTCTCACAATGTTTGAAAGGCAAGGTCCACATAAGTAACATGATTATTCCTGTTTGTCTCACAATGTTTGAAAGGCAAGGTCCACATAAGTAACATGATTATTCCTGTTTGTCTCACAATGTTTGAAAGGCAAGGTCCACATAAGTAACATGATTATTCCTGTTTGTCTCACACTGTTTGTAAGGCAAGGTCCACATAAGTAACATGATTATTCCTGTTTGTCTCACAATGTTTGAAAGGCAAGGTCCACATAAGTAACATGATTATTCCTGTTTGTCTCACAATGTTTGAAAGGCAAGGTCCACATAAGTAACATGATTATTCCTGTTTGTCTCACAATGTTTGTAAGGCAAGGTCCACATAAGTAACATGATTATTCCTGTTTGTCACAAAATGTTCGTAAGGCAAGGTCCACATAAGTAACATGATTATTCCTGTTTGTTACACAATGTTTGAAAGGCAAGGTCCACATAAGTAACATGATTGTTCCGATTTGTTACACAATGTTTGAAAGGCAAGGTCCACATAAGTAACATGATTATTCCTGTTTGTCTCACAATGTTTGAAAGGCAAGGTCCACATAAGTAACATGATTATTCCTCTTTGTTACACAATGTTTGAAAGGCAAGGTCCACATAAGTAACATGATTATTCCTGTTTGTCTCACAATGTTTGAAAGGCAAGGTCCACATAAGTAACATGATTATTCTTGTTTGTCTCACAATGTTTGAAAGGCAAGGTCCACATAAGTAACATGATTATTCCTGTTTGTCTCACAATGTTTGAAAGGCAAGGTCCACATAAGTAACATGATTATTCCTGTTTGTCTCACAATGTTTGTAAGGCAAGGTCCACATAAGTAACATGATTATTCCTGTTTGTCTCACAATGTTTGAAAGGCAAGGTCCACATAAGTAACATGATTATTCCTGTTTGTCTCACAATGTTTGAAAGGCAAGGTCCACATAAGTAACATGATTATTCCTGTTTGTCTCACAATGTTTGAAAGGCAAGGTCCACATAAGTAACATGATTATTCCTGTTTGTCTCACAATGTTTGAAAGGCAAGGTCCACATAAGTAACATGATTATTCCTGTTTGTTACACAATGTTTGAAAGGCAAGGTCCACATAAGTAACATGATTATTCCTGTTTGTCTCACAATGTTTGAAAGGCAAGGTCCACATAAGTAACATGATTATTCCTGTTTGTCTCACAATGTTTGTAAGGCAAGGTCCACATAAGTAACATAATTATTCCTGTTTGTCTCACAATGTTTGAAAGGCAAGGTCCACATAAGTAACATGATTATTCCTGTTTGTCTCACAATGTTTGTAAGGCAAGGTCCACATAAGTAACATGATTATTCCTGTTTGTCTCACAATGTTTGAAAGGCAAGGTGCACATAAGTAACATGATTATACCTGTTTGTCACACAATGTTTGAAAGGCAAGGTCCACATAAGTAACATGATTATTCCTGTTTGTCACACAATGTTTGAAAGCCAAGGTCCACATAAGTAACATGATTATTCCTGTTTGTCTCACAATGTTTGAAAGGCAAGGTCCACATAAGTAACATGATTATTCCTGTTTGTCTCACAATGTTTGTAAGGCAAGGTCCACATAAGTAACATGATTATTCCTGTTTGTCTCGCAATGTTTGAAAGACAAGGTCTATATAAGGGACAAGTGATTAATTGTGTTTGTCACATTCTACCCTTCCCCAGAATGTGTATCACAATCTTCATCAGAGCTTTATCAAATGCAAAGATCATATACAGAAAATGCAATGGTACCGTGTAAACCTATCACTGCCGCAACGACAATGTCGAAGATGTCGAAATAGGACCGGAATATGTTACTAATTTCCCAGGAATAAATCGGAAGTGTTCACACAAAACTCCCACTAACACACAGGGAGGTCCAGGTAGATGTGGTGCCGAGAGTGGACAAAATTAATGACCTATCTTGTTAAGCAATAACCTGTAGTCATATAGCGTGTGTTACAGATGGCGTGGTACGTTCAATGATAGATATCTCATTTACAGAGGGTTCAGTGGGCACCAATGAATCTAGAGTTGAGTGACAGTGTTACAAAACTGACCGTTTTGCAGTATGTACAATTATCTCCTTAGCCATGTACCACAACCTTGGACGTCTGCATTGAGTAACCCGGTATCAACAAGTGTACCATGTCCCCCCTAATTACACCAGTCGTTAGGATCTCAGTCCCGACTGATAGAATATATGTCTAAACACTGCCCACCACATAACAGTAAATAATATATCATTGCGAAAACTGACACAACTGCGTCTATTATACTATGCTCGCCTATTTCAGGAAGGTTCATGAAAGTTTTTCAGGCTTTCCGGATGATAAGGCTGCCCTCGGTGGGTATGTCATATACATGTGCCTTCCTTTGAGAAACCTACGTATACATGTGGTCAATGACGAGGACAACCAGTAATAACGAGGTGAAAGTTTAAACTTTGTTGTCATTAATGCCAGTATTAATACACTGATCCCTATGGTTTGTTGTATTGAGCTGCACACTACATCTATGTCGTCTCTGGAAATCCAGACAAACACCTGCAAAGAAAAGACGATCTCGCCCCTTAAATATAGTCAGCAAATTGATCACACATTATTTGAGCTAATATATTTATATGCCTGATATATACAATTTACGGCCTGAGGATTGCGTTCTGTCACTTCAGTGCCCGACCGTACGAAGTGGCTACTAACTGCTACTCCTCAGAGAGCTGAAAATACAGGTGATAAAAAGAACCAATCGGGAGACCTAACAATACTTTTTGACATGTCATGTAACAACTAGCAACAGGAGGACGCTATGGAGATCTACCATAAAAACTGAAGCAAATTGTGGGTAAGAGGAAAGTCAGTGTCATGATTTGCTCTATTACATTCGTGGTAATTGTTGCAGTACTGTGGTCGACAGATCCTAAAGTTTGTGAGTTGCTCATCAAGCTTGATCATTCACACTTAAAACTGCATGCGTATATCACAGATCTATTAACCAGTGACATATTCTAAAGGTTAAACGAACAAACCATGGCGAGACCTCTCGACTGCAGCTCCCTGTAGATTGATGCTGGGATGAAATTTAAATGTGACAGGTTGATAGCATCAGAACATTCTATCATGGGTCCAGTTTAAACAAGCAGGTTATAACATGGGACCACCTTTGTCATACATGAAATTTCGTTTCCCTCTCGGAGAATCGATTCTTGTTGATTGACGTAATTATGGCACGAAAAAAGGCCAATAAGCCTATATTTTGTCCCTGCCCTCGGCCAATTGAAATAATCGCAAATAGTTGGCCACAAAGACTGCTTGACGGATGGGAAATGAGAGATAGTTCTTGCCTGGCATCATAAGAAGAATCGATGGCCCTAACGGCTCAGATGTTATTGTACACCCTGTTTCTACAGAACATCTGAGTATGCCAAGTCTGATGAGCGATGCTTTTCTAATGCACATAGCTCCACATTCAACCGTTAGGACGGTCGCTGGCTATAAGACCGACAAGTGGATATTTGTAAGACAATGAGTACTAGTCATGAACACTCAACATAAAGATGTCACGTACGGTTTAGACTTTATGACGACTGTGAAGGAATGGCCAAATATATTGGCCAAATATCGGTGATTATGTTTTCGAAATAGAGCCATGAGCATTGCTTTGAGGACGTTATATAAGACTGCTGTAACCTCAAGGCCAAATGTTTGAGGATACACGCATTGGAGTAAATCGATGCCATGTAACCTGGGAATAAATAGTACACTCTGGGTTAATGTCGGGTTTTTACCTCAGTGATGAATTATGGATTTCCTTACATTCGTTCTCTTTATGAACACTTTTCAACAGAATCAATATATCATATACAAACCAATGGTATTAAAGTTGTTGCTTTTGGAAAATGCAGACGATTTTGTATGGAACAAACAGATTCATTTCACTTGCACATGTTTGACAAGGTACCAACAAGTTCCAGAGATTACCTGTGACATGTTAAGTAAGTGAGAGAGTTTAGTTTTACGCCACACTCAGCAATATCCCAGCTATATGGCGGCAGTCTGTAAATAATCGAGTCAATCAATCAGTTTGTCCAGTAATCAACAGCATGAGCATCGTTCTACGCAATTGGGATACGATGACATGTGTCAACCAAGTCAGCGAGCCTGACAACCCGATCCCACATGTTAAGGCATCTTAAATGTATTGTATACTATCATATTGATACGATTTGCACCACAGCTTAATCAAAACTTGTTCCTGCAGTTACTTACACATACGCTCTATGGTTAATCCTTGTATCCAGAACATGTACATATGCATTACAGCATCACTCCTATCCACAACACGTACATGTATGCTACAGCACCAGTCCTATCCACAACACTTACATGTATGCTACAGCATCAGTTGTATCCAGAACACTTACATGTATGTTACAGTATCAGTCTTATCAAGAAGACTTACATGTATGTTACAGTATCAAACTTACCCATAACACGTACATGTATGTTACAGCATCAGTCTTATCCAGAACACGTACATGTATGTTACAGCATCAGTCTTATCCAGAACACTTACATGTATGTTACAGCATCAGTCCTATCCACAACACTTACATGTATGTTACAGTATCAGTCTTATCCATAACACGTACATGTATGTTACAGCATCAGTCTTATCCAGAACACGTACATGTATGTTACATCATCAGTCTTATCCAGAACACGTACATGTATGTTACAGTATCAGTCTTATCCAGAACACTTACATGTATGTTACAGTATCAGTCTTATCCAGAACACTTACATGTATGTTACAGCATCAGTCTTATCCAGAACACGTACATGTATGTTACAGTATCAGTCTTATCCAGAACACTTACATGTATGTTACAGTATCAGTCTTATCCAGAACACGTACATGTATGTTACAGCATCAGTCTTATCCAGAACACGTACATGTATGTTACAGTATCAGTCTTATCCATAACACGTACATGTATGTTACAGTATCAGTCTTATCCATAACACGTACATGTATGTTACAGCATCAGTCTTATCCAGAAGACTTACATGTATGTTACAGCATCAGTCTTATCCAGAACACGTACATGTATGTTACAGCATCAGTCTTATCCAGAACACGTACATGTATGTTACAGCATGTCTTATCCAGTTACAGCATCAGTCTTATCCAGAACACTTACATGTATGTTACAGCATCAGTCTTATCCAGAACACTTACATGTATGTTACAGCATCAGTCTTATCAAGAACACTTACATGTATGTTACAGTATCAGTTGTATCAAGAACACTTACATGTATGTTACAGAACCAGTCATATCCAGAACACTTACATGTATGTTACAGCATCAGTCTTATCCAGAACACTTACATGTATGTTACAGTATCAGTCTTATCCAGAACACTTACATGTATGTTACAGCATCAGTCTTATCCAGAACACTTACATGTATATTACAGCATCAGTCTTATCAAGAACACTTACATGTATGTTACAGTATCAGTTGTATCAAGAACACTTACATGTATGTTACAGAACCAGTCATATCCAGAACACTTACATGTATGTTACAGCATCAGTCTTATCCAGAACACTTACATGTATGTTACAGTATCAGTTGTATCAAGAACACTTACATGTATGTTACAGAACCAGTCATATCCAGAACACTTACATGTATGTTACAGCATCAGTCTTATCCAGAACACTTACATGTATGTTACAGTATCAGTCTTATCCAGAACACGTACATGTATGTTACAGTATCAGTTGTATCCATAACACGTACATGTATGTTACAGTATCAGTCTTATCCAGAACACGTACATGTATGTTACAGTATCAGTCTTATCCATAACACGTACATGTATGTTACAGTATCAGTCTTATCCAGAACACTTACATGTATGTTACAGCATCAGTCTTATCCAGAACACGTACATGTATGTTACAGTATCAGTCTTATCCAGAACACGTACATGTATGTTACAGTATCAGTCTTATCCAGAACACTTACATGTATGTTACAGTATCAGTCTTATCCAGAACACTTATATGTATGTTACCGTATCAGTCTTATCCAGAACACACACATTCCAGTGTCAGGCAATAGAGAATACGTACGCTATAGCTTCAATCATATCCAGACCCATCTCCACACAGCAGTGGGCGTGGTCGGCCCTGGGTTCGGGGAGGCCGCTGACACAGTAGTAGCAGTCTCCGAGGATCTTGATGCGAAGACAGTAATTGTTCTGGAAACAGATTTTAAAATTCTTAAAAATCAATAACGAGTTTATGTCTGCCAATTATTTAACCTGGCAAGGGGTATGTTTTAGCTAAAATATGTCAAACATAGTTATTTTGCGGTATAAGGTTTTCTTTTCTGACACATCTTTACTCAATATTTAGAGCTTGAGATTTTTTCCACATTTTCCTTGACTGTTAATCAGTACCTAATTTCTCTCAGCGTCGCTTTAGACATCGGTGACCTCAAGCAGTCTCTTTAATCCAACATATTTTGATCGAAAAGATGTGAAAGAAAATTACCTTTGCTGCGGTAGTAACTTGTGTGTCAAAAACCTTAATCGTACTTGCTGCCTGATGCAAGATCAATCTCGACAGAAAATCGTAATATCAAACAATGTAGAACTTAATTTTGAACTTCAGTGACTCCACTTCCAAACCGAATGAACCTTTTTGTGATGTTTGGTTTGTAATTAAGAAAGGAATGCATTCCGTATGAAACCCACCCTGGTTGTTTCCTTACCGCGGTATCATGTCATAAATACTGCCGGCTTTTCTCTCTAAACAGCAAACTAGATCCGACCTCCCATTACTTCACTTTGAGCTGACGCTTATTTAATATTACATGAAAAGCCTTTCAACTCCCGGCATAAAACCTCACTTGTTACGCTAATTCGCTCTAGATTGAGTAAATGAAATATGGCAGACTTTACCGAATATTGCTCTCTTGTCCAGGTAACTCGGAAAATGAAACTTGACATCCATTGAATTAGATAAAACGTACTCTCGGGATAGTGAAAATACCATATACGTCACTGAGATATACTTACCTTTGCTAAATGATCAAATCTTCCAAACAGTTCATTTAATATTCTAACCAGTTCCTGCGCCGTGCACTGAGAAGCAAGATTTGTGAACCCAACTATATCAGCAAATAATATTCTGCAAACGGAAAAAAATGTCTTTCAGTACAGATGAATATATTACTTTACAACTAGTTACGAAGCATTGGTAGAAACTGTAAAAAGAAACTAAAATCCAAATACTTTACTCGATCTTTTACTCGATCCACAAAACATGAAGTAATACCAGATTAGAATGGATCACATAATGGTGTTTTCAGATCGTTGTTTTTACATCTGGAGCTATTCGGAAAAGCGAGTGGATTGACTTTCTCGCCGCTTTTAATTGTAGCAAGTCATTCATTTTGTAGTGTGTTAAATTCACTTGGGGAAAAAACGAAAGTAATTTTTGCCTGTGGTTCTTCATCTACACGAAACCCGGAAGCTGATCGAGTGCAGACGGAAAACCAATAAGCTATTATTCGTTACGAATTTAAGATTGGAACAAACGAGAAGAGTATCCTGGAACGGCCAAGATGGGGAACTCTGAGCCCAGGGTGAACTGACTGATTATTGGTTACATTTTGTTTCTTGGCATTGTGAGGAAAAGGGCAACAGATTCGTGAAACAATAGTTTTTGTCTGTTCCAACAGATGCACACGGTTAAACCTGTCAAAGTGGTGCTTCTTAGGAAACTGTGAGTAGCATACTGATGCTGGATTCAAATAATATCGTACATGATGACTACATCTATACTGCCTGTAGCATTCCGGAACGTCAACACAACGAAACAGAATTCCCTGAATACACGTATGGCTGAGGACAGAAAGGTAGAATACACGTATGGCTGAGGACAGAAAGTTAGAATACACGTATGGCTGAGGACAGAAAGTTAGAATACACGTATGGCTGAGGACAGAAAGTTAGAATACACGTATGGCTGAGGACAGAATGTTAGAATACACGTATGGCTGAGGACAGAATGTTAGAATACACGTATGGCTGAGGACAGAATGTTTGAATATACGTATGGCTGAGGACAGAATGTTAGAATACACGTATGGTTGAGGACAGAGAGTTAGAATGCACATATGGCTGAGGACAGAATGTTAGAAAACACGTATGGCTGAGGACAGAACGTTAGAATACAGGTATGGCTGATGACAGAAAGTTAGAATATACGTATGGCTGAGAACAGAAAGTCAGAATACACGTATGGCTGAGGACAGAAAGTTAGAATACACGTATGGCTGAGGACAGAATGTTAGAATACACGTATGGCTGAGAACAGAATGTTAGAATATACGTATGGCTGAGGACGGAAAGTTAGAATACACGTATGGCTGAGGACAGAATGTCAGAATACACGTATGGATGAGGACAGAATGTTAGAATACACGTATGGCTGAGGACAGAATGTTAGAATACACGTATGGCTGAGGACAGAATGTTAGAATACACGTATGGCTGCGGACAGAATGTTTGAATATACGTATGGCTGAGGACAGAATGTTAGAATACACGTATGGTTGAGGACAGAGAGTTAGAAGAATAAACGTATATCTGAGGACAGAAAGTCAGAATACACGTATGGCTCAGGACAGAAAGTTAGAATACACGTATGGCTGAGGACAGAATGTCAGAATACACGTATGGATGAGGACAGAATGTTAGAATACACGTATGGCTGAGGACAGAATGTTAGAATACACGTATGGCTGAGGACAGAATGTTAGAATACACGTATGGCTGAGGACAGAATGTTAGAATACACGTATGGCTGAGGACAGAATGTCAGAATACACGTATGGCTGAGGACAGAATGTTAGAATACACGTATGGCTGAGGACAGAATGATAGAATACACGTATGGCTGAGGACAGAATGTTAGAATGCACATATGGCTGAGGACAGAATGTTAGAAAACACGTATGGCTGAGGACAGAACGTTAGAATACAGGTATGGCTGATGACAGAAAGTTAGAATATACGTATGGCTGAGAACAGAAAGTCAGAATACACGTATGGCTGAGGACAGAAAGTTAGAATACACGTATGGCTGAGGACAGAATGTTAGAATACACGTATGGCTGAGGACAGAATGTTAGAATATACGTATGGCTGATGACAGAATGTTAGAATATACGCATGGATGAGGATAGAATGTCAGAATACACGTATGGATAAGAACAGGAAGTCAGAATACATGTATGAGTGATGGCAGAATGTTAGAAAACACGTATGGCTGAGGACAGAAAGTTAGAATATACGCATGGATGAGGATGGAAAGCTAGAATACACGTATGGCTGAGGACAGAAAGTTAAAATATACGTTTGTCTGAGGCCAGAATGTTAGAATACACGAATGACAAAATAGAATGTCTAAATACACATTTGCTTTGGACAGAACATCAAAACACAGATGTTTCTGAGGACAGAATGGCGGAAAACATATATCTGTAGTAATTGTATGATTAAGACGGCTCAATGCAGCTCCAAACACAGAAAAACTGAACGAGTTCCCAATGCCGTTTCATTCAGTTCAACACCCGACACCTTTGCATGGTCATTCAGACTTTGTGCATCCCTTGTGCACGACCAACAACCGCCAGACAATACGCACTTATATAACATGCCCCCTTGTCTACAATAGCTGGAAGAACTTACGACACATTGTTATGACGTTGTATATAGATCTTGTGAAAAATTCCGTGATGAGGCGTAGTGATATCATTTTTCATCTCCATGGCGACATGTTGTGGTAAGACACTGAGAAGAAGCTTTTCCTGAAAGACAAAAAGATGATGAATCAAGTATATGAGAAGGAACTAAGGAACGTATTACATACACATTATAACACATCATATATTGGAGAAAGTAACATCCTGACAAGCACAAGAGATACGGACCTGGACCTGTACAGATCTAGCTAAATTCACGATCGGAACAGATTATGGTGTTTTTCACGTGTTATTATGGTGTTTTTCGTGATTATGGTGTTTAACATCCGTTAAGCAAGTACATTCCAACAACACGTTTTGTACCTTCTGAAGAAACCCCATGGACCAACAAAACATCCAGCATGTCCTGTCTGATAAAAACATCCGTTAAGCAAGTACATTCCAACAACACGTTTTGTACCTTCTGAAGAAACCCCATGGACCAACAAAACATCCAGCATGTCCTGTCTGATAAAAACATCCGTTAAGCAAGTACATTCCAACAACAAGTTTTGTACCTTCTGAAGAAACCCCATGGACCAACAAAACATCCAACATGTCCTGTCTGATAAAAACATCCGTTAAGCAAGTACATTTCCACCAACAAGTTTTGTACCTTCTGAAGAAACCCCATGGACCAACAAAACATCCAGCATGTCCTGTCTGATAAAAACATACGCTCCTCTATTTCTCAAAGCTTTCAGCCGTATGAATCAACAACGTGTTGTTGGAATCAGCAACGTTTCCTCCTTTTTAATAACGCAAACCTATCTAACCTTCAGCTGCGTATGTAGTGGTGGAACTTAATATCTATATAGATGTTAGCTGGAAAGACACATATGCTAAAGAAGTAATGGATGCACACTACAGTCTTCCAGACAGCTTAAGAACAAGTCAGTCGTTTGCACCTACCGAACTTCACTATCAAAACCAGTTTGTTGCGCTCTTGTTAGTTGCCTTAGGCAGAAAAGTCTGCTTCACTATGGCATCTGTAGAACACAGTCACATGACGTTTCAGATAGCTACCCGGTTGCCAAGCGTAGAACACAGTCACATGGCGTGTCAGATAGCTACCAGGCTGCCATATGTAGAACATAGTCACATGACCTTTCAGATAACTACCAGGCTGCCATGTGTAGAACACAGTCACATGACGTTTCAGATAGCTACCAGGCTGCCATGTGTAGAACATAGTCACATGACGTTTCAGTAGCCACAAGGCTGCCATGTGTAGAACACAGTCACATGACGTTTCAGATAGCTACCAGGCTACCATGTGTAGGACATAGTCACATTACGTTTCAGATAGCTACACGGCTGCCAAATGTAGAACATAGTCACATGGCGTTTCAGATAGCTACCAGGCTGCCAAATGTAGAACACAGTCACATTACGTTTCAGATAGCTACCAGGCTACCATGTGTAGAACATAGTCACATTACGTTTCAGATAGCTACACGGCAGCCAAGTGTAGAACATAGTCACATGACGTTTCAGATAGCTACAAGGCTGCCATGTGTAGATCACAGTCACATGACGTTTCAGATAGCTACACGACTGCCAAGTGTAGAACATAGTCACATGACGTTTCAGATAGCTACACGGCTGCACTTGGTGACTGTGTACACGCCGCTGTATCATGCCGTTCCAATATATCCAGCACCGAGAACTTGCCGGCAGATCTTGTCATGCCAGCTACCATGGGGCCGGCAGATCTAGTCATGTCAGCTACCATGAGACGGTAGATCTCGTCATGTCAGCTACCATGGGGGCCGGTAGATCTAGTCATGACAGCTACCATGGGGCCCATGGGGCCGGTAGGTTTAGTCATGTCAGCTACCATGGGGCCGGTAGATCTCGTCATGTCAGCTACCATGGGGCCGGTAGATCTCGTCATGTCAGCTACCATGGGGCCGGTAGATCTCGTCATGTCAGCTACCATGGGGCCGGTAGATCTCGTCATGTCAGCTACCATGGGGCCGGTAGATCTCGTCATGTCAGCTACCATGGGGGCCGGTAGATCTAGTCATGTCAGCTACCATGGGGCCGGTAGATCTAGTCATGTCAGCTACCATGGGGCCGGTAGATCTAGTCATGTCAGCTACCATGGGGCCGGTAGATCTAGTCATGTCAGCTACCATGGGGCCGGTAGATCTAGTCATGTCTACCATGGGGCCGGCTACCATGGGCTACCATGGGGCCGGTAGATCTAGTCATGTCAGCTACCATGGGGCCGGTAGATCTCGTCATGTCAGCTACCATGGGGGCCGGCAGATCTAGTCATGTCAGCTACCATGGAGGCCGGTAGATCTAGTCAGGCCAGGTACCATGGGGACGGTAGATCTAGTCATGTCAGCTACCATGGGGCCGGTAGATCTAGTCATGTCAGCTACCATGGGGCCGGTAGATCTAGTCATGTCAGCTACCATGGGGCCGGTAGATCTAGTAGATCTAGTCAGGCCAGGTACCATGGGGCCGGTAGATCTAGTCATGAAAGCTACCATGGGGCCGGTAGATCTAGTCATGTCAGCTACCATGGGGCCGGCAGATCTAGTCATGTCAGCTACCATGGGGGCCGGTATATCTAGTCATGTCAGCTACCATGGGGCCGGCAAATCTAGTCATGTCAGCTACCATGGGGGCCGGTAGATCTAGTCATGTCAGCTACCATGGGGCCGGTAGATCTAGTCAGGCCAGGTACCATGGGGCCGGTAGATCTAGTCATGAAAGCTACCATGGGGCCGGTAGATCTACTCATGTCAGCTACCATGGGGGCGGCAGATCTAGTCATGTCAGCTACCATGGGGGCCGGCGGAATTAGTCATGAAAGCTACCATGGGGGCCGGCAGATCTAGTCATGTCAGTTACCATTGGGGCCGGTATATCTAGTCATGTCAGCTACCATGGGGGCCGGTAGATCTAGTCATGTCAGCTACCATGGAGGCCGGTAGATCTAGTCATGAAAGCTACCATGGGGCCGGCCGATCTTGACATGCAAGCTACCATGGGGCCGGCAGATCTACTCATGTCAGCTACCATGGGGCCGGTAGATCTAGTCATGAAAGCTACCATGGGGCCGGCGGAATTAGTCATGAAAGCTACCATGGGGGCCGGCAGATCTAGTCATGTCAGCTATCATGGGGCCGGTAGATTTAGTCATGAAAGGTTGGATTTTACGTCCTAGTGGCCAATATTTATTCATGGATGATCCAACCGACATATGTTCATACAACAGAACAGCTGAAGTACAAAGGCCCGATGTTACGAATGCAGTTTTATTTAGTTTTGTTGTGTGTTTTCATGTGCGGCGCGGACACTGAGAAACACTTACCACAAACTGTATTAATTACTTACCAATTTTTCATTTTCCTCCTGTATTTCTAATCTAGCTGCTATACAGTTGCGTGTGTCAATGAACGTCTTTCTCTGAGACCTTTGTGTGAGATAATGAATAAATATCCCTGCTATGTTGACGCTCAGAAACAGCACACCGTTCGCCACAAGCTGCAAAAGAAAAGGTCAGTAAACATAATATCCAAACATTTTTATACACATATATAAGCAGTTTGATCGTCTTATCTTCAGTGGGTTCCTGTGCTTCTTTACGCCGTCTAAGTAATAATTCAGAGACAAAACGGCGACATGCAAATAATTTTTTGAAAAGAAACAAACAGCGATTGCTACTGTGAGCATCTTTGAGATAACCAAGTACATTCCGCACTAAATATCCCATCTAAATATTCAAGGGTGCTAACAACATGTATAACTTTACGACGATTTGGTGCTATGAGTTTCAGTATTACGACAGGGGACGCCAAGATTACTAGAACCTAACCGCCACTGTCATAACAGGATGTACACACGTGTATGTAACTATCAATAACCCACTGGAATAGTTTGTCATTCCCGTCACTCACTGTAACATAAAAGAACAGTTTAACTCTTGCGCATACGTGACCATTGGAAAGCATTGTCCTTGATATGGTCGATTCCAATCTTTGAAACACACATGTACACAGCTAGGTACAAGGATGATATCTCCCAACATAGAATTGCTTGACACCTTAGATTAATTCTTTTTCCCAATGTAAAGTCAACATATTTGCCTCTTATGAAAATCAGTTGCCTCTTATCACTAGCCATCTCTAAAGGGTGATAAGTTGGTGGATCAGTGAAGTTGAAGGCTCATTTTCTGAATTACCTACAAATACCAACATCATACCTTGTATATCCTGTGATTAGATGGATTGTATGTTGCCTAACATCCAAATTCACTGTTGTTCTGCATGCACAATATGTTAATGACTATAGAAACTCTGAAGTCATATCATGGTTTCTTTCATGTTTTATAACCTCAAGCTTTACGAAAATAGAACCACTTTGGTACCTTTGTTTGATGTAAGTGAGATAGCACCACTTAGTGTTCTTTTCACAAACAAATCATTGTTACATATCTATCTTATTCATCTGAGAGACAACGGGTGGAACTTTCGGTAAGTACAACAAATTTGAAAATGCATCAAAAACTAAATTTTCGGGGGAAGATAAAAACAATGAACTTGTAGGTAACAAATATCACATAATTCCTTGTATTTCATAAATGTTTATATATGTCAAACTAAATCATAGCTGGTTTATTAAAACATCGAACAGCTTGCAAATTGTTTATCTAAGTGCATAGGACATGTGAATAAAGATTGTTTACAACCGGTTTAAGGATTTCTCTTTGTTTTGTCTGAGTGTATGTGGGAAAGAAGCAAAGTCATTTTAACTGATGGAAATATACTTTTCATCAAAAGTTTAGACTCACTAGAAATGTATATATATGTATGTATATATATATATAGTTGGAAAACCAACTGCAAACCTTATGCAGATGAATTGCACGAGGATCATGCATCAAATTGCTGAAAAGCATGTGCAAATATCGTAAATGTGAACAGCTGCATTTTGGTGTAAAGTTTTGTTCAGAATTCGCCAATTTTCACTGATTTTTATCATTTATTGAACTCATGACAAAATGTTTTCAACGTTACAAATTTGTTTTACAATACACCAGTTCATGTGTAAACAGTTCCTTTAAACAGTATGGAATATTTTGCAAAATGTAGTTTAAAACAGTCGCCTTAAGTAAGGGGCTACATCTACACTAGTGAGTCTAAACTTTTGATGACAAGTATAGAAATTGAAATAAAATCAATACATCTGAAAATTTATTTACCAAATGTTTCAACTGACATTTGTATTCAAAGAAAGCACATCACAAATGTTTAAAACGCTTGAACTATTACCATATACCATATAACATTATGTACAGATAAACATGTCACTAAAACAATCAATACATTATGCGTCTTACTGAACTATAACTCTGCTTTAATTACCCATATTTTGCAATGACAATTGCTATTAAATAGACATTTACAGAAAGTTTCAACCACAAAAACGAGCCACCTACGAATAAGACATACCTTTGACAAATCTAATTACTAAACCCATGCAACTTACTTCTACTACAGTCTCAATTCTTCTATGTTCGCAAGTACATCGGTGACAGCCCTGAACAAGACATACAACTTGAAACACACTGACTGATGTTACCTACAAATACGGAATGTTACCAACAAATACACATGTTACCCACGAATCTACCGTTTATCCCGTGATATCATGCAAACTTTTACTTTTATCACCAAGATCAACTTGTTTTCTGACATTTCACTCAAAAAGAATTAATTATATCACTATAATAAAGTCTAAACCACGAACTGCAGTGCATCCCTGAATAGAACATTTTTATTGAACGCTCAGTTATGTAGCCATTTGAAATTCCAAGGAACAATTTCAATATATTAATATGCAGTACTGCGTACCTTATCAGTTAACTTATGATCTGCAATAATTGTCTTCAGTATAAATTATGTTATCGTATCGTATTGTGTTCTCTATTTCATTTTGTTAACAACGAATATATGTTACGTACAAATACCGGGAGCCACAACCGGGGAAATCCCAGCGGGACACCATGTCTTACCAATTTGAGCCCCCATGTCAATTCCACTTGTAGTCTGAGGCCTTTCTTACAATAATAAGACTTAAAACCTCCCTAAAATTAAAGTTGGTTAGTTGTAAGAGGTGTCATATGCATCCTATGTTATTGTGACATGGGTTTATTTATATAACATTCTTACAGAAAATGTAAAATACACTCACTAATCAGCAATATGTTGTCTGGTCTCATCTATGATGACTTCCAAATGGAACACATGTCACGTGTTGTCATTCCACCAATCTATTTGAATGTGATCAGTTGTTGGTACTTGTAGGTAACATTTGGGAGCTAAAATTTTCCTACGAATACAGGTTATTTTGTGTGATAAAAACAGCACAGAAAATGTTCAGATGTGGCACACGCATACCTTGTGGCCCTTTGCACTTGAACTTAGGATATCATTCACTAATGTGTTCATCTATGGAAACAGCAACATAGTAAATGTTATTTGTAGGTAAAGTGATTTTTTTTTACCAAATCAGACCTTGATTTTCTAACATTTTTTTAGATTATTACTTGTAAGAAATATTATGTAACGCCATTGCATTTGAGTACTTTACATATTAATGCTGTAAAAAGTAATACAAAACATAACCTAGTGTTGCATTTACATATATTGACAGAGTCATTGAAAACTGTATTCGTAGGTAACGCAAAAAATACCACTTGAAAACAAATTACCAAATTTACGAATTAAGCCCTAGACAAAACCATTTCAGGGGATTTATTCACGAAATATTTGGCAGTCAGATTAATAAACTTCTGTTCATCAAGTTTGACTAGTATTTAACACACAACATGTTTTCAACAAAACATTTGTAAAATAAAAGTTAAAATGAATACAAATGACCTGTTTTTGTCTCCCATAAGCTTAATTTTTAATTAAAAATAGTCATGTTATATATGGCCCGAATCGCCTCACTTGTGCCCATGTGATGGGCACCCCGAAATAAGTGAAGATAGTAATGCTAAATTGTTATGGGCCCAAACATTCTGTGTACACTTTTCGTTGGAATCCACCATATAGTTTTTTATATGAGTATGTACTGATTATGAAATCAATCATGAGTGCCAATTAGGACTAAGCAGCACCTGTTGTTTGACTAAGTTAAAGACTAACTGGCTTTTTCGCACAGTATTATAGTCCCAGCGTGTGAGCTCAATAAGAGACGCGACTCTTACATGCGGCCCCTTTTGATAAAAACCAAACGCACGGTACAGCAGCAGCAAACAGCTCGGGGGTCATAACTGGATGATCTCCTAGACCACATGCAGCGAGATGTGGACCTATCTATCACGAGACCATTTGTCTCATGCATTCTACAAATATTATTCAAGGCACATGGTTACCTAAAAAAAAATCACTTTGCCCCATCACTGCACTTTCTCGATATTCGACAGAGCCTGTCTCTCTATATCATTCCAAGAGTATCCTTTCAGCTTCGTCTGTGGAGCATGCGTATATAACTAAGCATATCCGCAGTTGTATGTGCGTGGTTCTGGCAATGAAAGCTGTCTGTATGAGAGTGGCTTCACATAAACATGATGAGAAGGTACTTCAGTTAATGCATGTCAAAGATATTTCAGAACTTTCTCTTAACTTCTTTTCTTTGGCCGTGACATGTTTGTATATCAGCTGGTTAAACCACGACATTTACTTTCCAATCAGAACCGTAGAAATAGGATTTGCTAAGTACCTTAAAGAGTCCGCTTGTGGAATTTAGTTTGCCTTCTATATATCAACGATCGATTTTGCGTTTCCTTCTTCGCCTTGGAACACTTAATATTTCACTGCTAAGTACATATATGAATAGCACCATTTTAAGGAAAATCGATAATCTGAGGAATTGCTGCTATTTGCAACACATTTATTGCCAACAATGACTCCGAAATTCCTACAGTCTGTATCCACATGGGCCAGTCCTTATACTCGATAAACATAAATATAGCATTGCGTATAAACTAGAATATTTGTTTTGGGTTTTGTAACTGACAATTGAAGCTATAAAGTACTGTTTTTATATCCTCCTAATGCACCAGACAAAATCGTTTCCTATCTCCACGATGACTAACATTGATCTCTGCTGTCCAGATCAATTAAGTAAACTGAATTAATGGCAACAAGTGATAATCTATTTCAGTGGAAACGCGCGTGTCACGCAAAGTTTCACAAAGGTTTGCTTGATACTGAAACTCGAAAAAAGAATAACATGGAATGATCCAATCAAAGCCCTAACAATTGTTTTGTTGCCTCCTGCAGTTGAAGGACCAATTGGGAACTAAATTACACAGGGAATAGAATGTCATGTCTTCGGTTTAACCTTTGGGGTAAAATGCATTACTAATGGGGAGCTAAGTGAAACGCGCGGTTTTCCAGATTCCAGACTGCCATGTTCTATTTGCAGAATTGGTTCCCAAGCACATAAACCCCCAGTTCTAGTGCAATTTCTGA